CAGAATAAGTCAAACTCGTTTGAGAAAAACTCTCCACCACGATCAGACCTAAGCCTTTTTATCTTCCTGTCAAGTTGATTTTCAACTTCTGCCTTATAAATTTTAAAATAGTCTAGAGCCTCGTCTTTCGTTTTCAACAAGTACACATAGCAAAATCTAGTAGCATCATCAATCAACATCACGAAATATCGTTTTCCACCCTTCGTCAACACCCCATTCATTTCACAAAGATCAGAATGTAGGAGTTCTAGTGGTGCCAAGTTTCTCTCCTCGGCAACCTTGTGAGGCTTGCGAGGTTGCTTCGATTGCACACAACTATAGCACTTAGAACCTTTGACAATGGATAACTTAGGAATTAAACACATGCTGGAAAGCCGAGACATCAAGCCAAAATTAATATGACATAAACGTGAGTGCCAAACATAAGCCTTATCATCCACACTACCACAAATATGGTTCACAGACTTATTGTAGAAATCAGAAAGGGAAAAGCGGAACAGGCCTCCGCACTCATAACCTTTACCAATAAAATATCCATGTTTAGACACGACTACTTTATTAGACTCAAAAACCAACTTAAATCCGTCTCTAGTCAGACGGGAGCCACTAACAAGATTCCTGTCGATAGAAGGGACATGCTGCACGTTCTTCAGTTGCACGATCTATCCCGAAGTAAACTTCAGATCTACCGTGCCAACACCATGAACAGAAGCATGTGACCCATTCCCCATTAGGACGGTGGAACCCGTGCGACCTGATAAGAAGAAAACAATGAGATGTCAGCACAAACATGTACATTGGCCCCAGTATCAACCCACCAATTAGTAGACTAATTAACTGAAAAAACAGTTGCTAAATTACCATACTGCTTCCATCTCCAGTGTTGCCAATGGTCACATTAGCAAACTTAGAGGTCTGCCCTACAGGTGCCTTCATCCCCTTGCGTTGTGGACACTTCCTGGCCAGATGGCCAGGTTGACCACACACAAAGCAAGTCCTCTCATCCTGATTAGGATTGTTGTTGTTCTTCTTCTTAAAGTTGGTGGTCTGCTGAGCTTTGTATTTCCCCTTGCTCTTGTTCTGGGCCTTGTGCACAACATTGGCAGTGGACTGGCCACCATCGCCCTTAGACGCGACATCTTTTTCCCGAGCTTTCTCCTCAACATCAAGAGACGCTATCAACCCCTCAACGGAGTATTCCTGTCTCTTGTATTTGAGTGCAGTACTGAAACCTCTCCAAGATGGAGGTTGTTTCGCGATAATGCACCCGGCCACAAATTTGTCGGGTAAGACACACTTAAGGAGTTCGAGTTCCTTAGCCATGGTTTGTATCTCATGAGCCTGTTCGACTATAGAACAGTTGTCAGCCATCTTGTAGTCATGAAACTGCTCCATGATATAGAGATCATTGCTAGCATCAATAGCACCGAATTTAGTATTCAGTGCATCCCACAACTCCTTAGCGTTGGTCATATGCATATACACCTCGACCAGACGATCGTCAAGCACGCTAAGAATGCATCCCACAAAGAGAGTAGTGGCCTCATCGAATTTTTTCTGCTGATCAGCATTAAGAATGCCCATAGGCTTGCCAGTACTCACCCAGAAGCATTTCATAGTTGTCAGCCACAGAGTGACCCTGATCTACCATCTCTTGAAGTACACACCGGTGAATTTATCCGGCCTCAGTGTATCGGCAAAACTAGCCATAGTAAAATCACAGTGCCTACAATAAGATTTTTGGATTGTTGAAATTATAAGCACATAATGATTTAATTTATTCCATAAATAAATCATGACATTACATATGTAAACTAGATTGAACGCATCATTAGATCTACACATGTAAACTAAGCAGAAAAGCTGAAAGCTTTTCTGTGCTTAGATGGCTGGTTGATCTATGTGCCAAAGCCAATTAGTTCGGCATGGGAGGTATCATGAGTATGTGCTTATATCAATTTCACGGAGGATATGCGACCATCAGAATTGTTGTGTGTTGTTAGCTTCACGTAGACACAACTTCCGCCATAGAAAGAGATCAAAGCTTTAAACATCGAAGTGGTTTGGGTTGTCAGATAATCAATTTTAGTTGTACACACAACTTCAAATGTATTGAGCATTTGAGCTACATATCCTGATGGCTGATGACATGAGTGTGTTGGCTAGCATATCCTGGAGCAACATTTAAATTTTCTGTCTTTTTGTCTGTAACTTGCTCTTCTACTTGGCCCATTCAAAATATATAGTGAAATAAAATTAGTCACTAGTACAACGAGAAAAATACTAAACAATGTTGGGGAAGAACGTTTTCTTGTGTGATGAATGACACTTTTTCTTGAAGGAATTATCCCTTCCAAGAAGATTTGTGAATTAGGACAGTGGCATACACGAGAAACATTAGCGAAAATTGAACCGGGGGTTATGAAATGTAAGAAACTAATCTGAAGGGGGTCCCAGGAACTTAACCAAATTCCTAAACTGGAACTCAGCCTTGTAAAGTGGAAAATTATCAACGCTGACTCAGGCTTCACTAGCCTGAACTTTCATCTGTAACTTGCTCTGACTCTTAATTTGTACGAAATGCATCGATTTTAATTTCTTTTACTCTAGAATTTGAGTACTGGGATTTTAAGAATCCACCCACCCTTATTTACACAGCCTTTATCGATCGTCTCGTTTCACCTCTTTATTTACAGTTCTTCCGCATCCTTTCCATCCGTCCCTGGGAGGATTCATGTGATTAGAGCAATGTGCAGATCTGTTGTGCCTCTTCTGCTTCCTCTTTCCTTTTCGCTGCTCGACGGCCAACCGAGTCATGGACTACCTCCGTTTCAGGTTATAAGACTTTCTAGCATTGCCCACAATCATATAGATGTTAATGAATCCAGGCACACATATATGTCTAGATTCATTAACATATATATGAATGTGGGCAATGCTAGAAAGTCTTATAATATGAAACGGAGGAAGTAGCTTACTGACATGGGAGGTACCAGGAGATAGGAAAGCCCAGAAAAGTCGCCCCTAAGCAGCTTGAAATGCTACTGAAGCCGTCAAGTACAAGGTGGTAGCTTTGAGACTTTGATGTTCTGGGTGTTCCTCTTCGACCTTTGGGCGTGTTTTGATTCCACAGCCTCCACAGCACCGGGTTTCTCGATCAGCTTAAATTGCTCCAGAATTCGTTCCCCTGTCTCAGCTTGGACATCATCAAGGTTATGATGTTGGTTGAAGCATCCGGAAGATGAAAATCCCAATCTTGCACAGCTCCAATTCTGTTGACCTCAGTTTTGTCAATTCTAATTTAGAGAGCATTTTGACAAGCCTGTGAGGCCTGCATGAATCCATGGGCCTTCTGATTTGCCCTCATGCCATTCTTTAATCTTATCCGCAATTAAATTCCAGATGAACAAATAGAGAAGATAAAATGCTGCTGACCTCAAAGTATTGCACCTCTGAATCCCTTGCTTTTCCAGCTGCCCACCTCTCCAGGTCATCAATGTCAGGTTGTTCCACTAGGAAGATATCACTCTTAACAATTGATCTAGGTCTTAATATTTTTCTTAGATAATGAATTTTTCATTAATCAGGTCTCTATATGTACAAAGAATATACAAAGAGGAATAAAAAAAATTAAAAAAAGACTTCATCGACAACTTATTCTTTTCATCGCAGCGTGAGAGGATGGAAGAGGAGAAACAGAACTAGTCCATGCTACCCGTCGCCACACCATCTCCGCCCCTACGAATCACAACCACCATTTGCTGCCAATTGTTACGTTCGCTATCCGTCCTTGCCCTCCAAATCCCCTTACACTGCCGCTGCATTGCGAATGCCCCTAGCGCGCCGTGAAGTTGCTCTGTCGCACCACCACCATCTTCCGCAAAACATCAAACTCCCCGCCACTCCTAAAGCGACACGGAGCCGTCTAGCACGACATGCACCTGCCTTTACAGATGTGATGATCTCACCGGAGATACTCAACTGCACCGTCCACACCTATCCGTAGCTAGGCCTTGCCATCGACGCTCTATTTGCAGCTGCCGCCTCTAGGATCACTACAAGAATCTATTTAATCTATGACAAAAAAAATTCGTCATGGATCACTGAAAATTCGTCATAGAATTTGTCTATGACGATTTTACTTATCGTCATCTATTGAGCGTCACAGAATAAATATGTCGACGTTTTCCCTAAAATCGTCACGGATCAGCACAATCTATGACGTTTCTTAACCGTCATGAAACGCTTTTGGGCTCACGTAGTCCAGCCAAGGCCCAACCTTCGTGACGAAATTTAATGTCACAGATGGCTACCACGTGGCGGCCAACATGGCAGGTGACGTGGTCGTTGACACGTGTGTGATGACGTGGCACTAACGACGTCAGCAAACTTTTTTATACGGCCCATTATTTTTTTAACAGCCTATTATTTTTTTGACGGCCCATTAATTTTAAAATAGCGGCCAATTAATTTTTTATATTGGTCCATTAATTATTTAATGAGGCCCGTTATTTTTTTTAGAACTGGCTCATGTTAAAGTAGACTCATTTCAGAACTAGGCTCATTTCAAACCAGACCCATTTCATCAACCAACCATCATATCAAAGCCCACCAAACAGGCCCATTACATATTAGTGCCCACAAAATTCAATAAAAAAATAAAAAACTAAAAAAAGCTGAAACCCTAGCCGGCCGCCGCCCGCGCCGATTCCGCGCCACCGCAGCCGGCAGCCGGACGCGCCACATCCACCCGTTACGGTGCCCGACGCCAGATCCGCCATCGAGGCCCGCGCTGCTGTCGCCCCGTCGTCGCCAGCTCGCCCCCGACGCCAGATCCGCCGCCGCCACCGCTTTGCCGCTCCCGAGCAGTCGCCGCCGTTCCCGCCATCACCGTCGCCCGCCCCGACCGGATCCGTGAAGTCCCGGCCTCTCCCGAGCCAGCCGCCGCCGCTCCCGCCGTCGACGTCGGCGTGGTCGCCCGCGGCGAATAGAGAGGAGGCATGGACACCCACGGTGGCGAGGGAGGAGCCGTGGACACCCACAGCTGCGAAGGCGGGGGCGAGGACGCCCGCGGCGGCGACGTTGTCCCGGCGCCCGCTCCAGCTCCCGGAGGCCATGGCGGCGGCGCCGCCCGCTCCCAGCCTGATCCGCGAGTCCCGACCTCTCCCGAGCCAGCCGGCGCCGCTCTCGCTGTCGCCATCGCCCGCCACGGCCGAATCTACGAGCCCCGGCCTCTCCCGAGCCAGCTGCCGCCGCTCCCATCGTCATCGTCGCCGTCGACATCGGTGTGGTCACCCGTGGCGACGAGGGAGGAGGCGTGGACACTTGCAGTGGCGAGGGAGGAGGTGTGGACGCCCACGGCTGCGAAGGCAGCGCCGAGGACGCTCGCGGCGTCGTCCGCGGCGGCGAGGTTGTCCCCGCGCCCGTTCCCGCTCCCAGAGGCCATGGCGGTGGCGGTGCCCGCTCACGGCCGGATCCGAGTGTCCCAGTCTCTCCCGAGCCAGCCACTGCCGCTCCCGCCGTCAACGTCGCCGTCGACGTCGGCATGGTCGCCTGCGGCGGCGAGGGAGGAGGCGTGGACACCCGCGGCTGCGAAGGCGGTGGCGAGGTCGTCCCGGCGCCCACTCCCGCTCCCAGAGGCCGTGGCGGCGGCGGCGCCCACTCCCAGCCCCTCTTCGTCGGCCGCGCCACCTGCATGGCGAGAGAGAGAGGGAGAGGAGAGAAGGGAGAGAGATAGAGTTGAATAGGGGAAAATATCTGTGGTGGGAGAGAGAAGATAGGAGAAGTTTGAAAAATTTTGAAATGGTGAGGAGGGAAAAACCACTAAATAAATTTTGAATCAAAATTTATGATATTAAATAAACTCATATGAAAAAGTTATCAAAAACGAAGTTTTAGAACTCATTGATATCTACCAATTTGCTTTTGGTCATTTCTCCATCCGAGTTAGTTTGAACTACGTAAAATTTGAAATTTAAAATATAAGCAATTCAAATTATTTTTCAGGTACTAAATGACTTCAAATGGGAAAGTTGTCAACAACAAAGTTGTATAACTTAACAAGATCTACAACTTTTGTTTTGGTCATTTTGCTATATGACTTTGTTTCAATAATTTGAATTTGAATTTCAAATTATGACAACTTTAAACAACATTTTCAAACATTAAATGATTTCAACAGAAAAAGTCATCAACAACAAAGTTATATAAACCATCAATATATACAACTTTTGTTTTGTTCATTTTGCTATATGACTCTGTTGCAATAATTTGAATTTGCATTTCAAATTATGACAACTTCGAACAACATTTTCAGGTACTAAATGGTTTCAACTGAAAAAGTCATCAGCAACAAAGTTGTATAAATCATCAATATCTACAAGTTTTATTTTGTTCATTTTGGTATATGACTTTGTTTCAATAATTTGAATTTGAATTTCAAATTATGACAAGTTCAAACAATATTTTCAAATAATAAATGATTTCAGCTGAAAAAATCATCAACATCAAAGTTTTATAACTCATCAATATCTATAACTTTTATTTTGGTCATTTCTTCATCCAATAAAGTGATAGTAAATTGTTCACAAAATTTACATATCTCTTATATGATTTTGAAGTATTTAAATCGCGACAAAATTACTATAACGTCACAGGTTTTGGGCCGGTTTATGACGAAATCGATAAACGATCATGGTATTATGGGCCTTGTATCCATAGTTGCATATCCGTGATGATCTCTAAAAACATCACGAAAATTTCATCAAATTTCGTCACAGATTAAATAGATTCTTGTAGTGGATGCCGCTGTTGTTTTCATCTACGTTTTCGTCTTCCTACACATCAACTGACATGCCGTCGCAGGGAAAGGGCTAGCCCCCACCACGCTATCGGACCGTCGACAGTGACAGAGGAAGGACGGAGGAATAGCGCCATCTCCACTCAATGCTGACAACACCGACTAGAGCCCCGCCCATCCAAAACCCTCGCCGTCCGTTGGCACCGCTGCCGCCACCTCCATCGACGGTAAGGATGGCAACGGGTCGGGTTGGGCACGGGTAGAGCGATTCCATGCCCGACCCGAGACCCACGTGCCCGTGCCCGACCCATGCCCGCAAGGTCTATCGGGCAAAATCCTATGCCCGTGCGCATGCCCGTCGGGCACGGGCATGCTCGATGGGTACCTATCAGGCCTGCCTACGCCGTGCGCCACCACCGCCGTCGTGCGATGCCGCCACCGTCGTGCGTCGCCGCCAACGCCGTCGTGCGTCACCGCCTGAGCCGTGCGCCGTGCGATGCCGCCTGCTCCTGTGCGCCGCCGCCAGCCGTGCAGACGCCACAGACGCCAGCCGCTAGCCCGCGCCGCCACCGCCACCAGCCGTCGTGGAGATTGGGGGTAGGAGAAGGGGGTGGGGATTAGGTTAGGGTTTGGTGAGAGTATATATATGTCCCTGGTTAGTGGGCCAAATGGGCTAAAAGAAAAGGGTATGAGGAATAAGAGATGGGCCAAAATTAGCAAATACATATGTACGGGTCGGACATGGGTTATCCGTGGGCAAAAAACAATACCCGGCTGCTACCCGCTATGTTCTCGGGTCTCAGGCGGGCATGCCCACGGGTAAAATATTACACCCATGCCCACCCATGCCCATCGGGCCGGATATCCGCGGATATCCGGACCTGTGGGTAAAATTGCCATCCCTAATCGACGGTCGATCAGAGATGATATATTTAGTGAATACTAGCTGCGTTACATTGGAGTCATCCAATCAAACCAACATCAATATATACTAATCAATACTCCACATCTAGTACATTCATATATTTAGGCATGTCTAGATCTCACCTAAAAATTTTACATCATATTACATCGAACGTTTAAACATTTGCATGAAGTATTAAATATAAGCTAAAAAAATAACTAATTGTATAGATTGTAACTACTTTGCGAGATGAATCTTTTAAGCCTAATTGCTCCATAATTTGACAATGTGGTGCTCCAGTAAACATGTCCTAATGACGGATTAATTAGGCTTAATAAATTCGTCTCGCGGTTTACTGACAAATACTGTAATTAGTTTTTTTATTAGCGCCCGAATACCCCATGCAACACTCTATATAATACCCGATGTGACACGCCAAAACTTTACACCCCTAGATGTAAACACCCTTAGCTAGGCATATATGCATATATTTTCTTAAATTAGTCGTTGATTGATCAACGCGTTTAAGCAAGCATTCGTATGAACACGAATAATTAAGGACGACAGGTTTGTTGCCGCTAGTGTGAAAATCAAAGTAATTTCGTCCTAGTTTACTTTATTTTTGTATTTTTATACTCTACAAACCAACATCTCTTGCATGAGTCGGGAGTGCTAGTGACAACGACGATCGACCATATATGCATCAATCAGAAAATTCAGAATAGTCCTCATCATGTCATTCAGAATGGTCGTCATCATGTCAACTAACAAGTTTGATGTTGCTGGTGTACACATGTGTGATACTAAATTCTTCTAGAAACTGGAAATTAGGCATCAACCGAACAACTCCTTAGTTCCACGTACACATACATGCATGAATTATGGATGGACAAATCAAATTCCCAGCATACGTAAAGGAACAGCAGTCCCATGCGACTTCGCATAATTAATTTAATTACTCTCCAATATTAATTCTTAACGACTAAGAAACACATGTATGAACAACTAATTCAATTAGCCATCCTGACGAACAAGTTTCCAAGCACATTGGTGTCGATTCGCGTTGAATAAACTACGTATATACTAGCACGTAAGCAAGATGAAACATACATATACAGTATGATCATAAGCCGGTATGATGCCTAATTGCAATCATCATCACCTGAAAGATCATACAGATTATGAATCATGTGCATGATGATAGACTAATTACCTGTACAGTCAATCACTGGGTTCACTAGTAACCCATTAACCTTTGGGAGTAAATTAGTGGCGCCACCACAGTAATCTGGGTTTCCAATCCACCGTTAACGTGTGGTGTAAAATTGGGCGAGTTCACACGCTACGACATTACACGTCCTAGGACAATAGGAAACCTTAGCATCAATAAAGAATTACAAATGAAGATGAAACTGGCTTGTCTGACAGAGATCAAAGACTGTACTTAACAGCGCCATCTTAAGCAAAGATGAATCGCTAATATTAACCTATTCTATACACTGCCAAATGTGGCACTATGCTATGGACTACCTATATATACATGGTGCACTAACCTCTTTTCTGTGGTCTACACTAGAGCCTTGTTCCAGGCATTCCTCAGTCATACAGGTGCATATATGGGCTAACTATACGCTATTATTGTAAGTTATAAATAGGTGAAAAGAAAACGATGAAGTAGTCATGGCTTCCGGAGAGCTGACGCAGCTCCCATTATTACAGCCATTACAACCCCGAGTCCGGCACCAAGTGATGCACCTACGGCAGCAGCTGTAACAGAGCCATCTCTCTTCTGGGGCTTCCGCTTCCCTTGCAGAGATGCTGCTTTCTCTCTCTCCAGCTCCAGCGACAATCTCTCACGAGAAAGCTCCTATGCAAGCATGCAGTATCCAGTCAGCTATGTGACAATTGTTTTTTTTTTTTTTTGCGGGGAGCTATGTGACAATTGTTGAAAGGGCATACATTGGATAGTTTGTCAAAAGGTATGCTATGGCAAGCTGACATTCTTTTGGATTTTAACCTAAAACTATTGTCTCATGAGGTACATAATCAAACATGAAAATTTATGTAAGGCCTCTACAAATACATGGATTTATGCTTCCTTTGCCTTCTGAAAATTAAGAGTAAAGTCCATCACCGGTCCCTAATCTTGTACCGTTGTGTCATCCCGGTCCCTAAACTCGCAAATCGACCGTTCAAGTCCTCAAACTTGTTCGACTGTGTCATCCCGGTCCCTAAACTTACAGATTACTCGTTTAGGTCCTCCAACTTGTTCAGTTGTATCACCTCGATCCCTAAACAGGACGGTCTAAAAACTTTATATCAAAAAATAATTCATAACTTTTTCATGTGAACTCTAATGAAGACAAACTTTATATCAAACTTGTAGCCCTCGACGCGATCTACAACTTTGTAGTTGAAAAGTTTATGAATTAAAACTGTTTAGGGTCCCAAAATATTGTTGCATGTTTATAGATTTTGAAATTTTAATATTAAAATTACATTTTGGGACAAAAAATGATTTTAAATAAAAAAAATTCAACTACAAAGTTGTAGTTCGCGTCGAGGGCTACAATTTTGATATAAAGTTTGTCTTCATTAGAGTTCACATGGAAAAGTTATGAATTATTTTTTGATATAAAGTTTTTAGACCGTCCTGTTTAGGGACCGAGGTGATACAACTCAACAAGTTGGAGGAGCTAAACGAGTGATCTGCAAGTTTAGAGACCGGGATGACACAGTCAAACAAGTTTGAGGACCTGAACGGTCGATTTGCGAGTTTAGGGACAGGGATGACACAACGGTACAAGTTTAGGGACCGGTGATGGACTGTACTTGAAACTTAATGTAGAAGGAAAGAGAGAAGTACCTCAAATGCTGGCTCTTCATTGCTGTGAATTACTTGATGTACAAGTTGACGAAGGGCAGTGACACCCTCAACATGCATAACAATGTCCTTCCTCTGAAATGGTGAGAGTGAAAAGTTTACTGGATAAAAAGCAGCTCTGCCTGAAGGATTCTCGTTCCTCAGACTGCCACTAGCTGAACTGATGGGGCGCAAACTATTTGTGGCACTTGGCATTAGAAATGGGGAAGAGTTAACAACTTTAGTCATGTCAGGAGAGGCTTGATAAGCTTCCATTGCTGAAGTGATCAATGCGTTCTGTTCATGTGCACTGACGGAGAATTTATTAGTTATTGCAAGGATCCATGGAATGCCAAGAGCCTTGGCTTCATCCAAGAGAAGTGAAAGCGCTGGCTGTGGTTGAGAAGTGTTGGACTGGTGATACTGAGGAATTCGATGAGCAAGGTTATGCACAACAATAACTAAGTCAGTCTTCCTGCTGAGATCATGTATCCCTAACTGCAATTCTTCTTTGAACTGCCTAACTTCTAAAGGTAGTTCCTGTTAGAACAAAAACATACTATGAGCATTTTCGGGGTTGAATAATCAGGGAAGGAACCACATTGCTATATATGCCCTGTAAAAATGAATAGGTAAATTTTTGGTCCAGGAATTATGGTTGGGGAGACCAATTTTCACCCTGAAAAAAAAAAGAAGCTGCTTTTCACCCCCTACATCTAAATCTTGGCAATCAACACACCCCATACTCAATTTCACAATGTTTTTGGATGGCATGGTGGTTTTCACAGACATGAACTTCCATTAGGCAAGTTCAGTTGAGTTGGCTGACATTTTGATGATTCCACTTACACCTCAAAAAAACTTTCTGAATAGAAAATGTCAGCAAAAATATACTCGTTTCTAAAATAATTTATTGGATAAAAACTACGAACTAATTGTTTCAGATAACTGCTAGGGTGATATATCTATAAACATATATAAGCTTGTACAGTCATTAAGTAACTGATATACAATCATTAGGCCTACTGAAGTACCATATTTGTTATTGGATATAATGGAAAAGGGCAACATTTTTTTTCTATATAGTTTGAAAACTGTCAATGGAGTTAATTTCATGGTAAAAAAATGTACCTGCAAGTTCACTGTTGCCGAATCTACGTAGCACAAACCATTTGAAACTCCTTTTCCATGCAAATCTACATGTATGCACTCAAGAACTGCTTTGCTTCTTTCTTTAAATTGTCCTAACAATGCTTTTAGCAAGGAAGTTTTACCTGCTCCCTACACGAAATAAATACATACCCAATTTAGTATTCCCGTGGAAAAAAAAAGAAAAATATTCAAGATATGGGGGTACCTCTAGTCCAAGCAATCGCACCCTCCTGGTCCTCACATAGACCTCTTTACATATAGTTACAAAATCACTTGTACCGTATATAAGAAATTCATTCAAACCCTTGCAACAACCTTTATCTTCAAACAATGAGTCAAATCCATAATCTGGATTTGACCCTGTACCCGTGGCCACAGAAACCATAAAATCTTCACTGATATAATTTGGAGGCTGCTTTAGTGGCTGACCAACTAGAATGCGCATTTTTTGCAATGTAGGCTGCACTTCCTGATCTGATGAATATGACACCATTGGTAGAGTTTCAATGACTGTTGAATACCTGCACATGTTGAATTGTAAGATGGAATACTAGCAAATAAAATGGAGGGAACTTTGCTAGCCATAAGTAAAAACAAAAGAGCAATATTCATCAAATACAACATGCAAACATGGAACATGTTTTTTAAGAATATATTATTCTAGCTGGAGTTCTCCAAGATAAATCCAGTTCATGTTCCGGGTGTACTTATATGGGTTCAAAAATCAAAATTCACAGACTCTCAAATATCAACACTACATCCATACCAAACATGTTCAAATATAACAGATCTTTCGTCTATTGTGTATATGTGGATGCTAAGGCATACCCAAATGAAAAGAATACGAAAGGTACCCTCATATCTTGACCTATTTTGTGGTTAATGCATCATGCCAACAAGATAAGTTACTCGTATATGATAATTGATATACATATTTTTTTGAATGGCATATCTTGTGAAGTTGTGATATTATTGGCATGAGTGTTTTTTTTTTTTTGGGGGGGGGATTTGAGGTTACTTTTGGATGATATATATCTTGTGAGTTTGCCGCAAATTCATAGTGAGTATAGTGTTAGATTGATAGAAACTGCAACGTTTCATAGGTTGTAGTAGAGTGGAATTATGTAGACTCCCTGAACCCTTACATGTAGGTACTGTAAATCCGTAACAGCAACCTGGCCCATCAGACACCATATGAGGGATATTAAAATCAATAAAGGAAGAGCCTTCTTTATTCTTTACTTGGTGCCTGATGAAACAATTGCCTTGGAATATGGTGGCTAGCTAATCAACTAACCAAAACTCCAAAAGATAAACAACAGACTGATTTAAGGTAGCCTAATAAGTGAAGTCAGATCCAGCTGCCTAATCTGTTGCAGCTGTTGCTCCTTGTGCTGGTTGTGTCTTGTCGTAGGTGATCCCCAAAATAACATATATTCCTTTTACTGTTTGGTGCTAGGAAAAACTGTTTTGTTCTTGTCCTACAGCTGGTTTAATAGGTATAAAATGTGGCTCATTGTGTTCACAAGGGTTCCTGTTTATCAGGAAAAGCCTCAAGAGAAAAATGTGACACATAGTGTTAATTTGTATTCTTACCATTCCTTCTTTTTTTTCACATGCATCACATAAATTTTGCACATTAGCATAGTAGTACCTCATTCTAGTACCAGTTTCCTAAAATTTGCGCCTACAGAATTATGAACATGGTATTCTTGCCGAGATGAAGATTGGTGCCTCAAAGGGCAAGATCAAATATTTCAAAAAAAAAAAAGAAAAAAGGTGTCAAGAAAAGCTTATAGTGCAAACTAAAGCATAGGCCTACAATAGATTATGTCAAATTTGGTGAGCTTTCCTTCTGTAGTGTAGGACTCAAAACTTGTTTACAAGAGCTAAAGCATACCAGTTTCCATTTATCTGAGCCTGGAAAAGAGTGCACATATGCAGGTCATGTCCAATTATATCAACTTTCAGGGGTTCAGCACTTTTATCACCAGGGTAGCCATTCCATCCAAGAGGAAGAATAGAAGTGGCAGTTCGAATAGTAGGAGGCTCCACAATATGGCCAAGTTCAACAGAATCAGCAGCTGTTAGACCGAGTAGTTCTTGTAGATGTGAAAATTGTGGCAATTGTTCAATGCCTGTAAAAAGCTGGGCATTTGCAGACATGCAGATGTCATATATTCTGCACAAATAGGACAAAAACATTCAATGGTAATAAGTCCTTTTCCCCCAAAAAAAAACATGTGCAATTTAAACTGGATAAATTAATCTAATGCAACAGAGTTATATTGTGTATGCCAAGCGTCATGTCGGTTTAGTATGCCTTTCTTGTTTCAATTTAATGAACTAACAAGAGACATGTATGCACAATATGCACATTCACAGTTCCATATAGAAGATCACTTCTCAATATTGTGCTATGCAGAAAAAGTTCATTGTTCTCAGAGCTTCTGCACTATTAAAATAAGTTAATGAACTATTTATAAAAGCCATGTTATATAGGCAGACATGGATAGGTGCACTAGGAACAAAAGGTCCAATAGGCATACACTTCTAACAATTATACTTCTACACTGAGCAGAACCATGGATACTTAATATAACCCTATATGGCAAACTAATGTTCGGAGAAAGCATTTACCACAGCAAACAATCCATATTTCCTTTGTTTTTGTTCATCATACTTAGGTTTGATGCATGAGCCACACAAGGTTTAAAGTTGGCTGACTAGTTAGAAAAGAACATTATTTATTAATAGCCATGTGTAACTAAAGGTGAAAGTTGATCTTACTTCTGGAAGCGAGCCCTATAAGATTTCATTGAGTGTGATTGCAAACGCTCTCTTAATTCCGTTATAACTGACTGCACCTGCAAATGCCTTTGCCAGAACACAGCAAGATAATGAGTATATCCAATATTATTAAACAGTCAAAACAAAAGAAAACAAATCATGTTCCTAAATAGTTCAGATTTTTTTAACAAATACAAGAGGATTAGGAATGAACTAAAAAGCTCACCGATGTCATCTTGGAGTACTCTGAATCTGAAAGTGTATTGACTGATGAATCTCCCAACAGGTATAGCTGGTAAGCATGAAAACTTTTCTTAGTGTTAACAGATGGAACTCCACTCCATTTATTAAAAAGAATAGATTGTTTAATACATCGCTAATGATTTTCTCTAATCTTATTATTGCTTGCTTTCTCAAGGTAGTATGATATATCATACACATCAGGTAAATGACAGACAATAGCAGCATAAAAATTATGGAACAGCTATGTTACTGCAGAAGTCATATTTAAAGTAGCAAGATCATAAACTGGAACAAACATACACAGAATACAAGTAATATTCTTGTAACCAAGTCTACACAAAATACAGGAAATATGACTTCAAGCATCGAAAAGTTTTCATGCAAAAGATGACTTGTCCACATGTATAGATATGCTCCACACAAATGGGGATATGCATTATGCAAATACTAATTGGTAGAGTTTGAAACATAAAGGCTTAAAGGGTTAGAAGATATGATACCAAAAAGGAACTAAAAATAGGTGCCAACAAATGGAGTAAATAATAAATAAATAATTACTAACCTCACCAAATGGAACATATGAAGGCAAAGAAGGTACTCTGTTCCACCGTTTTGAACCCCCAACTTCAGAAACATTAGTTTTATCAGTCTTGTTATTTTCTTCAGTGAGCCCTCCATCTTTATCAGATAAAGGGGTAAGAGCAATTCCTTCTGAACCTTCTTGAATCTCAAGAGATTGCAGCCCCTCTTCTGATTCATCAACCTTTGATTGCAAGAAATTATCCAACTGTGATGGTGCCTTTCCAAAACTATTTGTTTGTTTCTGAAGCACACTTAAACTTTTTCGCACTCCTTCCAAAGGAACAAGCTTTGAAAGTCTCCAGAGTGACTTTTGAACAGGACCAACACCTAGAACAAGTTGCTCCCCATTGTTCTCTTTTGAACATACAGATTTTGTGTCCTTTTCTTCATCAGATTTTGCGTTAGTGTTATCAGGTGTTTGGGCATTATAGTGGTGAAAGTATGCCGGCGATAAAATACGTGGCACCAAGTCCTCTGGAATACAGTAGGATTTGAAATAATCTTGCCATCCTCTTCGATGAACGTAGCTAGTAAAAGGAAAAAGGGAAAAGATAAAGAAGTGTTTCCAATTTTATCAACTCTCTAACACATATCTGAAGAAATATACAATTATATTAATTTAATTAAAAATTAATTGAAATTACAACAAACCACGCAGGGTATTAGGCATATTTGAAATTACAAGAAGCCATATGGAGTCTTCAGACAAACTTACTCTCTCAGTGCAGCATTCCCAACTGGTGGCTGAGAAAACGTGATACACTTCACCTGAAGCCTGTCAGGCTCTTTAGATGGAGATGAGGATGCAAGTACTCTTAATATTGCAAGGGTAGCCAAAGCAGCTACCTGTAGCATAATTTGAGGTGTATAAGCAAATAGAAAGGGTGAGATGCTATGCTGCAAGTTACACATGCCTACATACCGCTCCACCAAGCGAATGTCCGCACAGAACAAGTTTCCTGTTCTTTTTCTGAGCAAGTTTGTATAGCTCCAGAGCAGGAATTCCATTGGCACGTGCTAAGAAACCCTACATGTTATACTGACTTAGGTAGATCCAAGCAATGATAAATCAATTCTAAGAAACTAATAAGTAATAACAGTGAGCCAATGTTCAACAAATAGTTGCATTTATTGCGTACCCGGTGTGCAGCAGGTTTTGATTTTCTCAACTGTTTTGATTTCTCTCGATAAGATGTCCCGAGGTTTTCTTCACCCTTCTGGTCATCATTTTGCACACACTCAACAGCATCAGCCAAATCCTGTGCGGTATCCTCATGAAATACGGTTCCTTGGAGTATATTCACATCAGCAATAATATCTCTATAAAGGAGAGCATAAGAAAACTTAATGAAATTGCAAATATGATAAACATTTCATACTTTAGGATCGCAAGAAATTCTTACTTGTATTGTTTTGTACCGATAAATGTAGCAAATAATGTATCACCAGCCTCTGCTAACACATACCTACAGGATTTCACCAATAAAAAAAGACAATATAATGAGGAGATTTTCAATACTTAACCATGAAAGCATAGTCTGAACAGTGCACTTTTTCGTGAATTTCACATAATTATGACTTTACTGCCAAAACTACAAAAACCTGAAACTTTTTGTTTCACATTTCACGACACTACAGCTTTTTGAAAGATATTTATCAAAACCTACAACTCTGTTCAACTGTTGCTTCTGGGTTATCTGACAGGTAAGGTCCCACCTGTGCCCTGTCAACTTCACAGCAGCTAATGGGAGGGAAGGATGTGAGGATGATGAGTGGGTCTACCAATCAGCTAATGGGGGAGACAACATAATTACATGTTTTTTATAATTATTCCTCTTAAAGTTGTAGTTTTATGAAATGGGATAATAAAGCTGTAGTTTTATTAAATTTACTCTTTTTTATAGTTTTTATTTAAAGAAAAATCTTAGGCTTATCTCCATGGTAATGGCTGGGTGGGATGGATAATATTCCCTAGTGAATGCACCAGTTCATGCTGTTGAACCATTTATGCAGGTCATCATCAATTCTTATGTATCTTTTTTAATAGGTGAAATTCTTGTTGGAACTTGGAAGTTGATACAGAGATGGACATGAGGGTGGATGGCATGGGAGGTGATGTTGGACAAGAAACTACATGGCCAAAGCTTGTGTGACTTGCCGATAGAGCATGAGAAAAGGAATTAGTTGATACTGTTACAGCATTTGTGAGAAAATATCAGCAAGAGAATACATATATTATAAATATGTCTGTGTTCTAGAATGAATATGCTTAAACCTTACCTATGTCCTACATGATCCAAGGATGGCTGAACACGCTCAAGAGACACAATGTGTCCACCAAAATCAGATTTGAACTTATTAATATATCTCATCATCTCAGAAACAGGCCTCTGGCACAAAAAAAAAAAGGAGACTAAGTAAAAATAAAATAAACAGGCCTCTTGCAGAGAGAATAAGTAAAAATATTCTAGATAGTAATTTTCTGATTTATAGGGGAAGAGGTGAAGGTAGTCAAAACACATTAAAAAGCATGGAAGAGTAGGTTAACTGAATCTAAACGGTTACATGAAAATTGGAACAACGAAAATGCACTTATTATGAAAAATCACAGTAGTTTCTCTTAGGTTGGTCATTCCTTTTCATGGTTCCAACGTAATGTCATATGAATAGAATAACACAAATAGAGATATAGTTCGATTGAACGTACATGAATGAATAAATGATTATACAATAGAAGGTGCTTGCAGATTAACTACATCAAGCAGGCACCACAGAGACGTTGCTGTTTTTATTCTACTTAGAATGCCACAATAACATTATAACGGCACATGGTTGTCCCCAGTCTGAGGGGCTTACATTTGCTAGAAGTTTTTCGTGATCGTTTAGACATTTCCCAGGTCGATTCAACATCACTAGAGACTGCCAATTTTTACATGAAACTACTGGACAGAACGTTCCAGTTTTTTACTCCTACGGCAACATAAGAGCTACTATATGATCGATCCCTTTGGCCATCAATCAGAGTTCACCACAGCCGCGCATGTCCAGGTCTCTACCTATAAGCCAACGGAACCGGATCGACCAGAATCGCGAAAGGCGGGGGGGCGGCATGGGCGGAAGGGGGTTCGGATTAGGTCACCTTGTAGACGCACTCGGCGAGGACGACGGCGCAGAGCAGCTCCTGGAGCTCGGCGACGGTGTCGACGCGGACGGCGCGGCAGAGCTCGCGGAGCTGGCGGCGGCGGCGCTCGAACTCCTCCCGGAACGCGCGCTCCCGCTGGCGCCTCCGGTCGCCCGGCCACGCGGGCGCCCGGGGCGGCGGGGGCCAGGACCAGGACCAGGGCCAGGGCCAGGGCCACCGCGGCACCGCCGCCGCTGCGGCGGAGGGCGGCCTCGGCCGCGCCCACGCGGGCAGCCGCGCCGCCTGGTCCCGCGCCCACGACTCGACGCGGCTCGCCAGCGCCGTCGCCATTGTCGTGGCGGGGCGGGGCGAGGAGGAGGAGAGCGCGATCTGGTGGCGGAGGGAGGGAGAGGGGGGAGGAGGAAGGGGAAGTGTGTAGGATTGGTATATTATTATGCCGCCGCGGCGGGTAGATCCGTTCGTTTTCGTTGCGTCTCGTCTCGTCTCGTCTGCGGGCTGATTGGAACATGAGAGTTATGATGATGATTTTATGAAAGTAGAAACGATATCTTTTCCGAATATAACTGTATTCCGACCATCCTATTCTTCCTAAAAGAATCAACCTAGCTAGTTTAATGCATATGAACACAAAGAGGTGTCCACATACATTATTCTAGAAGGGGTCACATTCTTAATTCTTTTTGGGACAAAAAGAGTATTTCAGTTTATAGAATTTTAAATGTCCTTGTTAAAATAAAATATAGTTGTAATGTAAATATAATCAAAATCACGCAGCATCTAGTTTCGCGTGCTTACAATAGCCGGGTCGCGAGTACAGCCACACACAAATAAATTTTAAAAGCATTCATATTTTATATGGTCAAAGTTACATAAACCCATATATATATTGACTTGTGATATACTCCATTATAGGTTTTGTTGCCTAAATGTTTGATAAAACCTCACTTTTATTTAAATTTTAATTAATTTTAGCATATGTGAAACAATATTTTTTAAAGTAGTGGGAATTAAACTATCATTTGAGAACTCAGTAATTAAAAAGATCATATACACTGTATCGTTTAAAATTTAAAGTAAATTTATGCTCAACATGTATAGGGAAGGGGTTTTGTGAAACTTTAGAAATATAATATACCTAGGGTTATATGTTACGAGTCAAAATACTAGGGTTTTATAATAATTTAATCATAAACAATTAGTGTTTTGTGAAGTTTATTTACAAAAATTCTCCCCTGCCAACACAAATTTTAAAGCGCATCCGATGGCAAAAAAAAAAAACGAAAGTTGCCCTCACCAATTTTTTTTCCCAAGAAATCTAGCAAATCCGTTTATGAACTTAGGAATTTTATGAAAACTTTGTGGAAATTGCGCCTAATCCATTTTACTATAACTATTGACCTGTTTGGTGAAGTTTAAGATTCTGATAAGTAACTATTTGGTAACCAATTTTTGAGAATCGGGAAAAACTAAGTGTCCCAGCTTCTGGCTTCTAATTCATTTTCTTGATTCTATAACTACAGCTTCTCAGCATCTAGACCAAAAGCTGGTCTGTTTGGGGGAGCTTCTGATTTTGGAAAAACCTGCAGCAGCTAGGAGCTTCCCCAAACAAGCCCTATAATGCCACCACATTGAGCCATGCGATTATGCCATCACCAATTTGTTACCGGTTGGATTTTATCTGGACGTTCGATGGTTCATTTCAAGTTCTCAGAATTCATTCGTTTGCTGCCCATATTTACTCCAAAATTTTCTTGAAAATAAGCACAACTCTTCAGGATGTTCCCATTCTCCAGTACTGATAATTATTTGTTGTCTTTGACATAAGAAATTATGCAACATAATTTCCATTAAAAAACATCTATTTTAGAGTATTATTTAGGAGTTCTTGGATCAATGCACAGCACGGGGGTATCATCTAGCATGTGAAATTTCCATATAAAGTATAGGTTCTAGAGAAGCCATATATTATTTCAAACAATCAACTGTTGGTTTTCATTTTGAATGAAAATCATCTTAAATCCACTTCAGGTTCTATGTGTGGACAAGCTAGCCTAGTCATTAACGCTTTTCAGCTTAAGGTATGTTGGCTTCAATTCTTTCTTTTCTCATCAGCATGCTTTTCAAACTGTTAAAAAGATGTATTTATTGTAAACATTTTCTATAGGAAATTTGCTTTTTAAAATAATATTAATTTATTTTTTAAATATATTAGGTAATGCTTAATTAATCATGTGCTAATGAGTCGCTCTATTTTATATGTGTAGTAAAGAAGATCAAACTTCAATAGCAACACAGCCTTAATTTTATTTGTATGCTCACCAAGATGGATTTTCCTTTTTCTTTAAAAAAATAAGACGGATTTTTCTCATGTCACTGCAAATGTCTCATAAAATAGAAAAGAAAAGAGTGAAATACAGTAAAGTGAGTATTCCATGGGCGGTGGCCCCATAGGTTGCTTATTGGAGTGCACATGCATCTAGCACTTTTCTTTTCTATATTTTCGTTTGAATTTACATCAGTTATATTTCTACTCGAGACATGCTCTTGTTTTGCTAAACAATATGCTGAAAAATATACTACGATTATGGGTCAAGAATGATTTTAAAAAAAGGAAAAACTTGAAGGACAGATAAAATGTAAAAGTACTAAATTAGCATCCTATTAAAAGTATTGTGGTCTCTCCTGGTATTATATGGGCACAAACGCATAGTCCACCTTTTCTCCTCTTTCCTTCTCTTTCCCTACGTCGAACTTCCTAATCTGGCCGAGTTGGCCCAAGCTAGCACAGGCCGGCCCGGCCCAGCAACGCTCCGCCTCTCCATCGAGCGAGGCACAACGCAGCTGCTTCTCCCGGCCAGAGCCAGTTAGCCACAGGCCAGCAGAGCCAACACGCCAAGCTAGCCACTGCCGACGCCATCACTACGGCCTACTCCTTCCGTACGACTAAAACGAACGTACGACTGAATGTTACATATTTAAACATATATATCCAAATTTATAATCTAGAATATGTCATATATAATATTAGATTGGTTTTTTATAGAACAGACAGAGTACACCTCATCCCTCTCTCCCGGCCTCCTCTCGGCTCTAAACCAACAGCAAACGAAATGCCACAACCTCAATCCGCTCGATGCTGGCCAAAGCCGCACCAATAGCCGTCGCCAGTGTTAATTGGCCAGAGATAAGGAGGTTTTGGCCACCGGTAAGAAACTCCGAAATTTGCCACACTTGACCATCCTTGTCCAAAATTGAAGCCACGCTCGTTTTCTAATGTCTTTGTGCTACTAGTTGATAACTTGAAATATACACACGGATAATAAAAAAATAAATACAAATTGACCATTGGATTTTTGTTTCTTTCCTGATATAGATTAAGCCAGCTGGCCGATTGCATGGGAGGACTTCATCACTCCCAGCGTCCAAGTGCGGACCCTATTGCTGTACATTTTCCTGAGTTGTATAGCATAGCGAGGAACAAGAATGAGTCAGTAGCAGGTGTTATGAGTACAAGACCTTTAAATGTTTACTTTCGGAGGGCTATAGTGGGAAAGTATCTAAAAGATTGGTTAAAGGTAGTTGCAGAGGTTATTTTAGTAAGTTTAACAAATCAGAACGATAGCTTCGTGTGGGAGGCACAGAAAAATGGGATCTTTTCTGTTAACTCGATGTATAAATCTATCATGTATAGGGACGTCATTCCAAAAAATGATATGATCTGGAAACTCAAGGTACCGCTAAAAATTAAAATTTTTTTGTGGTACTTAAGAAGTGGAGTGATCCTAACAAAAGACAATTTGGTCAAGAGAAAATGGAAAGGTAGTGTTAAATGCTATTTTTGTGATTCTAATGAATCAATACAACATCTTTTCTTTGATTGTCCTCTTGCACGATTTATGTGGAATGTTGTCTTCATTTCTTTTGGAATTCATCCGCCTAGGAATGTTGCTAGCTTATTAGGTAATTGGCTAAGGGGGGTTCAACCTAAACTAAAAACTCAAGTCTTTGGAGGGGTCGCAGCGTTGTGTTGGGCGGTATGGTTGTGCAGAAATAATGTAGTCTTTAATGGCTCCAACACTAATTTCTTGTTGCAGGTGATTTTCAGGGGGACTTTTTGGGCAAGACAATGGTCTTCGCTGCTTAAGGAGGAAGATGGCCAAAGAGTAAAAGATGGTTGCATGATATTGGAGAAGAGAGTTTCTAGTTTCTTTGCAATGAAAGGGTAGAACTTAAGAAGAAGATTAGAAGTTTAATGCTCTCTCTTCTTTGCACTATGGGGTTTTTGTTGTCTTAAGTACTATTTTGGCTAATTTCTGTCATTGTCTAAGTGTCTATTTGTAGTCACTCAAATTTGTGTTAAACCTTTTGTAAGGGTGTGAGCCTAAGTGCTCGTGTAAGAGACTTTTAGGCTGTGTACATCCTTTGGGTGTAGAGGCCGGTTTAATCCATTATCTAAAAAAAAAACCCTATTGCTCCCAGCGTCTTTCCTATTTCGGTAATTATTGTTTTGCATTTACTATTAATTTTACTTTGAGGTTATTAATAAAAAAATCGGTTTAGTGGAGTAACTTTATGATATGCTTTTCTGAAATCGGTCCCAAATTAAATAAAATAAATCACCGCATCATTGCTTTTCTTTCCTCCAATTCATGGATTGTACTACCCATTTCATATTATAAGTCATTTGACTTTTTTCTAGTCAAAGTTATTTATATTTAATTAAGTTTGTAGGAAAATATAGTAATATTTCCAATACAAAACAAACATTGTATCAAAATATATTCAAGGTTAAATTTAATGAAATTAATTTTATGTTATAGATGTTGCTAATTTTTTCTTTAAACTTAGTCAAATCTAAAAAAAACTTTAACTACGAAAAAAGTCAAAATATTTATAATATAAAACAGAGGGAGTATTATAAAAGAGCAGCACAGCGTCCATACTCTACAGTGAACCTAAAGTAGTACTCCCTCCGTCCCAGAACATAGAGAGTTTTAGAGTTGGACATGGTTATTAAGAAAGTATGTAGAATTAAATAGAAAGGGGTTGTAATTGGTTTAGAGGTGGAGGTAGATAAGAAAAATGAATGGTGGAGGGTTATAATTGGTTGAGAATGGAAAGTTGGTGAAGAAGATGTTAAATTTTGGAATAAATTCTAAGTGCTAAAAGTTGTTATATTTTCGAACGGAGGGAGCACCTTTTATATATGAAAAGCGATCTGAATGGAATCAATAGCTTTGTCAAAAGTCTCTCATATTCCTAATCACCAAAACTTTCCTGTCGGTCATCAATCTCATCAGCTACATCCCAAAGGGGAATCAAGTGAAATGCAGGTAGCTAGCTAGCCCGAAGTTATCATCAAACTGATATCTCCTCATCCGATCCTCTTCTTGCTTCACCTGCTGCCCTCTGCTCCGGTCGATCGCTTGCATATTGCATATTTGCATGCAGAGCTGCCATGGGAATACCTTCTTTCTACAGGTGGCTCGTGAACAGATACCCAAGCATCGTCTCCCCGGCAAAGGAGAGCCGCCCTGCAGATGGCATCGTCGTCTACGACAACCTCTACCTCGACATGAATCAAATCATCCATTATTCCTTCCACCCGCAGGACCAGATGAACGCCGGCACAGATGTATGTATAGCTTAATTAGCTAGCTACTGCAAATTTCTAATTAATCTGCATATGAATCTGGCCGGTATTGATATGAGCCACTTGGTCAGGTGTGCGCTCCGACGACGGTCAGCGAGGTTTTCGAGTCCATGTTCGACTACCTGGACCGCTTGTTTCGCATCGTCAGGCCGAGAAGGCTCCTCTACTTGGCAGTGGGTTCGTCGTAGATGTACAGCAGATGGATCGTTGGATCGATTCTCTCGTCAAATTACTTAGTACCATATTGTCGTTTCAAGAATTAATCATGGATTTGTTTTTGTTGGTTGGCTTGGCTTCAATTATTTCTGCAGTTTATGTACTTCTTTTATTATTCTCTCTCACTGCACGCTCTCTTTTTTTTAAAAAAAAATGGTTTAATTCCATGTGCAGATGGGGTTGCTCCGTGCGCCAAAATGAACGGAATGCGAAGAGGACGACGTTTCGCCTGGGTAGCCAGAGTCAATCCTTTGCATTTATTTATTTTCTTGCATGTCGATCAGCTAGCTAGCTGCTGAAGCAATTGATCGGTCGAGAAAAAGGCATCCATGCTTTGGTTCAATTTTACAGGCGAGTGAAGAGGAGGAAATGCAGAAGATATCAGAAGGGGTCTCTGACCCCAATGTCATCACGCCAGGGACTGAATTCATGGAGAAGATATCGCAAGCGCTCACGTACTACATCCGTGCCAGATTGAATAGCAGTGATCCAGGGTGGAAACACATCATGGTTAATTAATTTTCTCTTGCACTTCTTCAGTATAAATGTACCTCGTATTCTTTCTTAATTTCCCGTTTTTTTTATCCAAGGAGAGTCCATGCATGTTCACTCAATTTCAACGGTTTCGCATATAGATGGCCATAAGGCCTGCCCGGCACGGCCCGGCCCAGGCACGGCCCACTAGCCATCGGGCCGGCATGGCCCGGTTGGCACTTCGTGCTGGGCCATGCTGGCCCATGGGCTGCACCTCCTGCCCAGGCACAGCCCACCAGCAGTCGGGCCGTGCTGTGCCGGCTCAAAGGCACGGGCGGCCCATCGTGTCTTTTTTTAAAATAAGTCTATTTTCTGTCCCTTCTCTTTGGGCTGTTATATATGTATAGCTAAAATAAGTCTATTTTACGTCCCTATTATTTCGACCATGGCATATAATATGTCTATTTTTACTCCCTATTCTTTGTGTGTCGGGCCTGGCTGCTGGCCCATCTTGCCGGGCCGGCCCAATGTGCCGGTGGGGGGGAGGCACGGCCTGGCGGTCCGTCGGGCCGGGCCGTGTCGTGCTTGGGCTGGGCCAAAATGCCATGCCGTGGGCTGGGCCGTCGGGCCTTATGACCATCTATATTCTATAGTTTCGCATATAATTGCTGGGAGTTTAATGGGCCTCTATCCTCCCTTGCTCTAGGAGTTTTCATCGTTTTTTTCCTTGTCCTGGAAATGGCACTTTAGCCAATTTGCGTTGTTTAACTAAAGTATTTGATGTGCAATTATTTCTGTGTGTTCGCGAAAAAAAAAGATGTATGTAGTCGCAAGATCTACATGTATAGTATTGACAAATTAACTGTTAATTTACATGCATGCTTTTGGTTACCACAAAGTACGATCTTATTATGCTTTCCAATTTGATGCAATACGTCTATTCCGAAGGTAATACTCTCTGATGCAAATGTTCCTGGAGAAGGAGAGCACAAGATCATGTCTTTCATCCGTGCACAGCGCAGCATGGAAGGCTATGACCCCAACACACGACACTGCTTGTTTGGGCATGTAGGGAAATTAATATAAATCCGTTTTATGATAATCTCATTATTTCAAATTAATCCTAGCTCTGTAGCTCAGATTCAGTTCACACCCCTGCCTATTTATTTTTGTAATGGAAGCTAACTGTGAACGGTTTATTGCAGGATGCGGATTTGATCATGCTTGCTTTGGCATCTCACGAAGTCCACTTCTCTATTTTGCGTGAGGTCTGATGATCTCTTGTTAACGTTAAATTCGTACTTAAATAGATAAAGTGAAGTATTAAGCATGTGACCTTATTTTTATTATATCATCATGTAACCTACTCCCTCGTTCCAAAAGACTGTTATTTTAAATGTCAAAGGCATATCAAGAAAGAGACCAAAAAGACTACCATGTCCTCCATTAACGCAGAGAGAAAATGAGAAGGAGCTAGAAGGGAGTACTATTAGTTGGATGGCCAAACTAAGAAGAGTTAAAGTGGTATCAAAAGGTCTAGTGGACCTCACAGCTTAAATAAAAACTCTTTTTAGATAAATCCTAAAACTAAAATTATGTTTTTTTAAGGACGTACGAATTGGAGTAAGTATGTAAAGTCTTAACAGTCGAAGTAACTAGTTCAGCATTTAAAATGGTGCAGTTAATAATACTCTTATGTTAACTTCAACAGGATAATTCCCAGCTAACAGAAGCGGATCCAGAGAAACAATATCTGGTCGTCCTCAATCCCAGCCCCAGATAATAATGCCAGTAATTAATCGTTTTGGTTATGTGAATAACACCATCTTCTTTCAGTTTTTGAACATATGGGTTCTGAGAGAGTACTTGGAGATTGAATTAAAGATACTGGACCCAGTTTGTGAGCCTGATATTGAGAGGCTGATTGATGACTTCATCTTCATTTGTTTCTTGATGGGAAACGATTTCATCCCCCACATTCCGTCGCTTGAGATGAAGGAGGTATGTGTTTTAGAGTATACTCCACTATGGATTAGGTTCGTATAGTATCCGGTTTATTACTTCAGATAGATAGGATTAGTTTCCATATATATCTCTAGGCTTACTTGAGATCTCAGTCTTGTACTCCTATATATATATATACATATATATATGTATATATACATACATATATATATACATATACATACATATATGTATATATACATATACATACATATATACATATACATACATATATATATACATATACATATATACATATACATATACATATACATATATATATATACATATACATATACATACATATATATATACATATACATATACATATACATATATATATAGGACACCCATATGGGACTACATGGTGCCCGGGCTACAAGGTATAAAACACACAAATTCTCTCAAATTTAATTTTTTTTTCAAATTGTGAGTATATACCTAGCTATATGAATTTGATTCATACAAATACCTAACAACAAAACAACTCAAACTAAACTTTATTTTACAATTCATTATTAGATACCTAACGAATTATATGTTTAGATGTTATATACCTAGAACCAAAATCTAACAAAAAAAAAGTTCAAACTTGTTTGAACTAACGTAGTAAAGAAGTTAATGTTCATATCTAAACATTTTAAAAAATTTCATACTCATTCAAATTGGGTATATACTCAATTTGAATCTTGGAGCCCATACTCCATGTAGCACCAGTTAATTTACCTATATATATATATATATATATATATATATATAGACACACACACCCTCCCTATACTATTTAACAATGTGCATGTGTACGCCTTAAACAAAAGCTCAAGAGAAAGTTAATCTTGTTATTAGTATTTATATAAATCCTTTCACTTAATTTGTTCATCACCGTGAAAACTTACAGCTGTTTATTAATTTCATCTATTCCATGTAACAGTATGCACTTGATCTTCTCATCGAGGTATACAAGACAACCTTCAACAAAATGGGAGGGTATATTGTCAACATAGAAAAGGTACCTGACGGATTCTATGACCGTTAATTATTTTTATTAATGAAAGATTATCCTTTAGATTATGCCCGTGATGCAGTTACGACACTGCTACTGAAAACAGGTAAAAGATAAACATGCTGCATATCTGGAAGTCTCAAGGTTGGAAATATTTTTTCATCAACTGTCCATGTATGAAGAGAAAATTTTTCTAAAACGATACGAACTGGAACAGGTATGTTTTGCATTCTAGTATAGTATATACTGTCATGCAAAATGGAACTTATTGTCATTATTGTCGATCGTTTAATTTGGCCTTTAGGAATCCCTGAAGAAGTCATGTCGCGATGTGTTGCGTGAAGCTTCAGAAAGTGAAAGATTAGAGCTGAGCCGAAAACTAGAGGACCGCTTTTTTAATGAAGAACGTCCATATGACAAAGTTAGTGATATCCAGTTTGATAATATTTCTCATGCAGTCCCATTACAATTTTTGACATATCGACTACTGAACTACTGCAGCTAAGACTTGGATTGCCAGGATGGAAGTCCCGGTTCTACAGGGAATATTTCGGTATCGAAACTTCTAATGAAATTGGAAATCTTCAAAACGACATGGTTATGTTTTCCCTTTGTTTATTTACTTATCCTAATGAATCCCTTTTTCCCTTTCCTTCCCCTTCCCTCCGTCCAACAAAGATTGTCGTTCTACTTGATTTAGTAAAAGTTAAGGTTCAAAATGAAAATACTATTCGTGATGAGTACTCCCTCCGTCTAAAAAAAAAAGATAAACTCTAGCTATGTATCTGGACAGTATCGTCCAGATACATAGCCAGAGTTTGCTATTTTTTTTTGGGACGGAGGGAGTAATTGGGAGTGGGACGATGCCTAGGGATAGTATGTGAAGAAATTTAAATGGGAGTTGATTGATAAGATGGGCAATATATTCTAGTGTGACAATCTTTAGAGAAAATCTTTTCAAACGAAGATAGCATTTGCCTATTACTTCCTCAATCCCATAATATAAGGGATTATATTTTATTTCTTGCGAAAACTAAAGAAGTAGCAAAAGGACAAGTCAAGCTACAAAATGTAGTATTTGGGGGAATAAACTACTAGAAAAATTTGGATATAATTTTGAATTAAATATATGATCGATTGTTAGGGCTTTATCCAATATCCAGGATAACTAATACTACATTATATTAAAATGTACTCAATTTTAAAAATATCAAACATGCATTTTCGAAATAAAAAAAATATGGTTGTCAAATTTCACACCACATTAACACTACGCGGGCATAATCCTTCTTGGTTTTTCCTTTTTTTTTTGACCGAATGAAGCATCATCCTTATCATTATAATCTCCCCCTCCTCTTTTCTTTCTCCCTTTGAATTTAGGCTCAGAAGTATTTAGAAGGACTTTGTTGGATGCTTCAATACTATCTTGCGGACGTACCATCATGGAGCTGGTAAGAATAATAAAATGTTGACATATACTGAATAACACTGGATCCTATTTAACTAATTAATTCTCATACATAAATGCTTCGACTCTGCATCTTATGGTACAAACTTAATTGCTGCAGGTACTACCCATTCTATGTTGCTCCTTTCGTATCTGACCTCAAAAGTAATTGTCGGTTCGAGATATCTTTCACCGTAGACAAACCACTGCGACCATTTGATCAGCTCATGGCAGTTTTACCACTACGAAGGCATGCACTTTCACCATTCTTACTGCTGTACTCACTACCACAATACCCATTTTTCCGGGCAGTTGGGTTGATTATCCCGTACGGTCACCCGGCCCGCCTGTAGCTCCTCATCTGGAAAAATCATTATTTTCGCGTGCGGGCGGGCCGACCGCACGGGATAATCGATTATCCCGTGCGGTCGGGTTATATGGACCGCATGGGATAATCGATTATCCCGTGCGATGCAATAAAACCGACCGCACGGGATAATAGGTTATCCCCCACAGCTAGCATGTGCTAGGGCGACTGCACGGGATAATTCGTGCCGTCGCCCTAGCACATGCTAGCCGTCTGGGATAACCTATTATCCCATGCGGTCGGTATAATTTGACCGCACGGGAGAATAGATGCGAAAATTGACCGAGCTCAGTTACAAACATCAAATTAAATAAAATTACATAGAATATATAGTGTTTGTATATTACAAGTATCCCCCGCGACAAATAAACCTTTTAGTCCACTACATGTTCCCTCTCCCACTCCCATAGGTTCCTGAATGTGGGGTCCGTAGCAAGTTCGCTATGAGGATCATGGAACTCTCCTAGATGGTTACTGATGTCGCGACGAATGAACCGGCACAAGTCCGCGCACAAGTTGATAAGCGTTTTCTGATCGAACCAGCTTGCGTTATAAGGGATGCTCAGGAGCTATGGAAAGTAAAAGAAAATTGATTTGAGTTACAATCAACTTAAATGAAATATGTGCAATACCTTAGGAGCATGAAAACTTACATCTGTAAACTCAGTTCTGTATCTCCCACAGACCCTGAGCATCTCGCACACGTAATAACCGCATAGGTTCGTCAAGCTTGGTTGCTTATAACACTGCATACATATGTGGATACGTCAGTAGTAAGAAGTGACAATCGTGATGTATATACCGAATAAATGCTGACATACCGGCCATCATCCCCTTATGTACAGTTTCTCTCTACTTGTATTCTTTACATACCCGCCGCGTTTCTTATAATGGCTGTGTGCTCTACAAAGATAAAAGTAATTATTTATGATAAATCGACTTATTACAAATGATCTTTACGTAATGTTGGGGGGTTTCTTTCGAACTTACAAGTTAAGCAAGCATAGGAACTCCATGTACGCGTCCTTGTCATAGTCTGCCGGATCAAGAACTAGGACGGTTTGGTCCGTTGGATAGACGAGGAATAGTATATAGTGTTGGCTGCGAAAACAGATTATGAAATTACGTAAGATATATTTTCATGTGCGGTTATTAATCTATGAACGGAAAGATGTGGAAGTTGCTTACCCAAAGTGATAGGGGATCATGATGACTCATTTGTCGGAGTGTGTGAGAAATGAGGTGGCCAAGTAATTTCCCACATCGGCCATCTTTCTCTTATGCAGACGTTCAATGTACTCTTTTTTCTTCTTGGGTGCTTATTCTTTAGTAACGCACTATCCTCCGATATCCGCACAGCGTGGGCCGCGTTGCAAACCATCATTGGATTTACGTAAGCGATTGAGGCCCCCGTTCTTTGAGCGTCTACCCATTGTGACCAGAGGAAATTTGAAAGTTAGAATAACTAACATTTTTATTGGCACACATTGGGTAATAACGAACTACATAGAAAGCTTACAGGCAGCACGCGCCGATGAGATTGATATCTATTTTATCCATCTTAAAGAATGCGTGGAGGTCCTTGAAACTGATGGCGAAGTTTGCGTTAGGTCCATCCTTGAAAGCGTCTTCCGGGACATGCACCGTAATCATCCCGAGACCTAACTCACTTGCCCTCAAGTACCAGTCACTTAGACATAACTCACTTGCCCTCATTGACCATGGTAGTTCACACATCAAGTTGTACGGCAAGAACGGCTTGCCATATTCATACTCATTTGGCACTTCATCGGAGGTCCAAGATTGCATTTTGTCAGCAAGACCTACTACGCTCTTCTATGCGTCCAAATACTGATCAGGTTCAACTGGCTTTAGCGGACTGCCTCGACCCTTGAAAGACTGCAAAACCATCCGCGTCTCATACTTTGCCATTTTCTCCTTGTTGTATGTGGAAACCATAACAGGTATAAGCTTGCGGGCTCATAGGTACTTGGCTGCTCCTTTGATGTATCTGGCCGGGGAGGTGGCAGATGCTCCTCATGGGGTGGAGCAAGAGACGATTGCCGAGCAGGGGACGGCTGCCGAGGTTGGGGAGTTAGGTGCGGCATGTTGTGGAGGTGGAGAAGGACCTCTAAGTGGTGATATTTGTGGGAGTGGAGATCCGGGTGGGGTAGGGGAGATCGGAGGGGATGGCGGTGCAGGAGGTGCAGCCGTATTTGGCACTGATGGAGTTGGGGTCGTGGACGTGCACTGTCCCGTGAGGATGATGTCTCGACGATGCCAGAGTATGAACTGGTTAACCGCATCCCCGAGAAGTTCAATCCCCTTTGGTGTTGGGATATCAAGCTCCAACGACATCTGGTCGCCATTAACACGTGCCACCTGGACCCTTGCGTAGTCCGCCGGAATTGGGCTATTATGGAACTGTCTACCCGGTATCGCCAATTCGGACACAACCTCCTTTGTTTTTCCCGCTCTCCCTATCGGAACGACAAGGCTGCATGGTGTCGGACCAGTTATACTATCTACCGGGTAGGTTGTATTTTCTACCGACCCGACAGAGCTTGGGATCTGCGTCGACTGCGATCCTTGAGGAACCAGGTTTGGGAAGGCTTGAGGATGTTGTGCGGCAAGACAGTAGAACTGTTGGGTGACTTGTTGTGTGACTTGATCTGTGATTTCCTGGCGCATCTTCACCTTATAGGCGGCACGCTTCTTGTAATTTTTTGCTTTTGTGGAAACCCTGCCTTCCAATTCGTCTTGCACGACTGTCCTCTAACCCTACCGGAGTGTTATGCAGTTCCCAAAGCTTCGGTTAGCTCGTCATGCTGCCATCGAGGGACAAACTCTCCGGTCTGCTCCTTCTGGATGATCTGTTGAAGAGACGTGGTCAAGTTCTGGATGTCAAGACAGTCCAACAGCATCTCACCCTCTTCTGTCACTTGCTGCGATGCCCACACCCAATTTCTAGTTCATTTATTTAGGGGCTGCACCATCAAAGGTTTGCTTTCAGCCACAAACTTATCCTTCGTAGCTTGCCATTTCTTCTCATGACCGGCGTATCCACTTGACCCTAACCTGTGTGGATATATGTTCTTCTTCGCCAGGTCCGACATCTTCTTTCTCCTATCTAGGGCTTCAGACGTTGTCATTCTGGCCACGACCCTATCCCACTCGACCATCGAAATGGTGCCCCATTCTTCAAATGGATTCTTATTCTTCTGAACATAATGGGTGTTCATGTCTGACTTCCACTGTCGCTAGCGATGGGAAATTTTTTGCAGTGCAAATTTCCTGCCAAGTGCCTCTGACCCCGGCGGATAAATGAGGTGCTCCTGCAGACCTTCCCACATTAAGTTCTTGACGTATATGCTAATGTTCTTCCACTCATGCACGTTGAGAGGCCCATGAAGTCTTGCCAGCGTGTCGCATGCGGTGCTAAACTTCGTCCTGACATGTTGCGGCTCGACGGGTTTGCCATCATCGTTGAGAGCAACAATATAGTACGTCTCCTTCGGCATTAGGTTCCTGCTCCTCTCGCCACTTTTTTTCTTTGGACGTGCTCCAGCACTCGTCGTCGTGTCAGTTGGCTGTGGTTTCGAGGTCGCGGTGTCCGACTCAAGTTTAGCCCTGATGGCATTTCGTTTCGACCGACGACGGGTAGCCATCTGCACAGTTCAATTTGGCAGCTCTTTTGGGTGAAGCTCATGCCTTATGTCCAGCGATTCACCCAACGCCAGATCTTTCTCCTTCAACCATTCAAGAAATTTTCGTTTCTGTTCATTACAAATCCAAATGGCCGTTCTTCTAGGGTTGCGGGCTCTTATCTCGTTCATGTGTTCCTGAATGTACCGCTCGATGATGGCGAGCTATTGCAAAACGCTGCTATGTGCTTCCGCTACATCTTTGAAGTCCTCATCATAGAACCTTTTCTTGCCTACAATCCCTGTCCCAGCTAACTGGCCCTCGTGTAAAGGGGGGGTTACACCGATGTGTTCAGCGTCCTTCATATAATCAATGCAGCATTCTACCACCTCCTCAGTTGTGTACCCCTCTATCATTGATCCCTCCGGATGAGCTCAGTTATGGACATACCCTTTCAGGACGGACATGTACCTCTCGTACGCCCACATCTGGTGCAGGTATAGGGGACCAATCTCAATAATCTGAGGTACGATGTGGACAATCATATGCTCCATCATGTTGAAGTAAGCTGGAGGGAAAAACATCTCAAGCTGACAAGCTGTCTCGATTGCAAATTTTTAAAGGGGTCCTAACTCTTCAGGATCAAAAACCTTCTGTGATACACGATTGAAAAAGTAGCATATCTTGGTTATCACTAACTGAGTGTGAACTGGCTTGACCGCTCTTATAGCAATCGGTAGGAAGGCTGTTAACATCTTGTGACAGTCATGAGCATTGTACCCAGAGATGGTTAAATCTTTCAGAGATACAAGTTTTCTGACGTTCGCTGAGAAACCAGTCGGGAATTTCACACTATGCAAGCATCTACATAATTTTTTTTCTCTTCCGGTATTAGTGAGTAGCAAGCCGGAGGAATATCGATCTTCCCATTTGGCAGCTCTTTTGGGTGAAGCAAATGCCTTATGTCCAAATTGACGAGGTCAGTCCGGGACTTCAACCCATCTTTCGTCTTACTCGGGATGTCCAGTAAAGTGCCAATGGTGCTATCAAACACATTCTTCTCAAGATGCATTACGTCGATGGCATGACGAACCTCCAGGTCTTTCCAGTAATCCAGATACCTGAAAATATTGAGTGCTTCTTAAAAGGCAGGTTACTTTCCTCTACAGGTGCATCAGTATTTTCTTGATCCGTCCGTTTCTTCCTCTTGACGGGCTTCTTCTTTGGCTTGTCGAACACAACCTTAATGTTCTTTGTCAGCTCGAAGACAGAGCCACCAGTTCGTGTTTCCGGAGCTAGATCGTTCTCTACTGTATTGTCGAATAATCTGGCCTTCGCACGCCACCTATGCCTCTGAGGTAATAACCGACGATGACGCATGTACACACCCTTGGTTGACGAGGTGAGGTACTTGTACGACGTCTTGTCGATACATATGAGACATCCAAACTTCCCTTAAACTAGCCCAAGAGCGAAAAGTTTGCCAGTAAGTCGTTGATCGTAATGAATATGATGGCATGCAGAGTAAAATGTTCCCTACGGTACTCGTCCCACATTCGTAACCCTTCCTCCCACAGTTCTTGCATGTCCTCCATCAATGGTTCCAGAAACACATCTATGTTAATCCCAGGCTATCTTCGACCTTGTATAAGGATAGACAAAAGAATATACTTTCGCTTCTGACAAATCCATGTAGGCAAGTTATACATGGTTAGCAGCACTGGCCAGGTGCTGTGTGTGCTGCTTAAGTCACCGAACGGGTTCATTACTGTCCATGCTCAATGCAAACTTACATTTCTCTGGTCCTTTGCAAATTCCAGGTGTAGTGCATCAAAGTTCTTCCACTGTCGAGCATCGGCGGGGTGTCGGATCTTACCGTCATTTTTCCTACCCTCCTGGTGCCATCTCATCAACTCGGCATCGCCACGGTTGGAATATAGCCGCTTTAGGCGATCTTTCACAGGCAGGTACCACATCACCATCCTAGAAATGTTTTTGTTCTTAACCACCGGCGCATCATCTTTGTCGACCACCTCTCCATCGGAGGCTCCGTTGCCCGTCTTGTACCGACTCGTCCCACATGTTGGGCAAGAGTCTAAGTCCGCGAATTCCTTGCGGTGCAATATACAATGATTTTCACATGCATGGATCTTCTAAACACCTAGAGACAATGGACATATCAATTTCTTCGCTTCATATCTGTCGTCGGTAACAGGTTCGGCTTAGGAAGCATAACTCTCAAAAGATCCATCAAATCATTGAAGCTAGTGTCCGGCCATATCCATGTCTGGCCTTCAATCTAAGAAGTTCAAGCACCGAGCGCAGCACCGAATAGTCCTTGTCGCATCCTTTCGCTTCGTCGTACAGAAGCTCCTTCGCTGCTTTTTCCAACGCTTCCCAATTGTCTAACCCTCATCTTGTACTAGTTAGGACCTCTGGTTCAACGTGCCGCAACATATCTTCCAGATCAAAATCAATACCTTCATTCTCTATACTAGAGCTACCGCATTCCGAGATGTTTCCCTGTGACATGTCTTCGATTATAAAATTTTCTACACCATCAAAGCAGAAATCATCCGTCACTTTGTTACGACCGCCGACTTCCCCTTGAAAAGTCCATATCTCGTAGCCCTTCTTAAATCTTTACTCTACGATGTGCGACAATACTTCATTCGGATTTTGCAGCAAAAATTCGTTCTACAAACTTTGCATGGGCAAAAATTGCTCCTCAAATTCTCCCTCACAGCATATGCCTTTGCGAGCTAAACGAATTTGGCTGCTTCCTTCAAGAACGTTGGATGAGCTCTTTTCTTGTTGTACATCCATGTCCGATCCATGACCTACAATAAAGTTTGTTAGTAATATATCCATGCCCGATTCAAACACGAATGTACTTAAATTGGAGGGAACTAATCACATAGTAAATTAAAGTTTTACAGACTATTTAAACAGCCGCACAACAATTTTAAGCATTAATAAAATATTGTCCATTTCTAAAAAATGAAAAAAAAATCGTCCTTTCATCCGAATGAAAATAAATTTAATAGAAGCAAACCCAACTTTTCAATTTAGGTACTAAATACTTTTATAAACATCTAACGGAATCATTATGTATTTGCTAAAAAAATAAAAAAAAGTGCCTACACTACTCCATTTATAAAAGTGCAAGTTTCTTCGTATTGCACCGATGAAAACTGACAAAAATGGAAGCAAATGAAGGAGGAGAACAACCTCTACACCTTTTATATGGAACTCAATCAAAGATTTGAGGTCGAAAACCTTCCCCCCTAATTTGTGGAGGTTTAGGAGAGAGAAAATGCTGGAAATCCTCCCAACGGTCGAGTTGGGGGCTTATATGCCCCCCGACCATCGCAAGCGGTCGCCTTAAGTGGGCCGCACGGGATAATCGATTATCCCGTGTGGTCCGCTTAAGGCAACCGCACGGGATAATTTCCATCGTCGGCATCACCCAAAACCCATAATCGATTATCCCGTGCGGTCCACAGCCCGACACCAGCATTCGCCTGGTTCCAGGCGGAGACACTGGGCCAAAAGGGGCCGGCGTCTAGGAAAATCACTTATGTAGTAGTGTACTGCATGTTGCTTGTTGGGATTTTTATATAATATATATACTCTCCCTCTGCCCCATAATATAAGGGATTTGGGGAGGATGTGACATATCCTAATATAATGAATCTAGACAAACAGTTTGTCCAGATTAATTGTCCTAAGATGTATCATATCCACCTAAAATCCCTTATATCATGGGACAGATGGAGTAAGAGTTAATTAACCATTCCCTCTTTTTTTCAGTTCGTGTGCTCTCCCAGAATGTTACAGAAAAGTAATGGGCCGTAAAGAATTTGACCATCCGAAGTTGCAGGCTGACACAATTGGAAAACGTTTCTTGTGGAAAGTGAGCAATTCGTTCTGTTGTTTATACTCCCTCTGGTTTTTGATATATAATGTCATTAACTTTTCTAAGATATATTTGACTATTCATATTACTTAAAAAATATATAATTACTCCCTCCGTCCCATAATAAAGCAACCTATGACCAGATAGGACATTTTATAGTCCAATAAATCTGGAAATGTCCAGATTTGTTGGACTATGAAATGTCCCATCTGGTCCTAGGTTGCTATATTATGGGATGGATAGAGTACTATTTATTTTATTTTGACTTCATTTATTATTAAATATTGAGTAAAGTCCATCACCGGTTCCTAAACTTGTACAGTTATGTCATCCCGGTCCCTAAACTCGCAAATCGACCGTTCAGGTCCTCAAACTTGTTCGACTGTGTCATCCCGGTCCCTAAACTTATAGATCACTTGTTTAGGTCCTCCAACTTATTCAGTTGTGCCACCCCGGTCCCTAAACTTGGATTTGAATATTATCTAGGTCAAATAGGACGTTCTAAAGACTTTATATTTAAAAATAATTCATAACTTTTTTCATGTTAACTCTAATGAAGACAAATTTTATATCAAAATTGTAGCCCTCGACGCGAGCTACAACTTTGTAGTTGAATTTTTTTTTTATTTTAAGTCATTTTTTGTCCCAAGATGTAATTTTAAAATTAAAATTTCAAAATCTATAAACATGCAACAATATTTTGGGATCCTAAACAGTTTTAATTCAAAAACTTTTCAACTACAAAGTTGTAGGTCGCGTCGAGGGCTATAATTTTGATATAAATTTTGTCTTCATTAGAGTTCACATGAAAAAGTTGTGAATTATTTTTTGATATAAAGTTTTTATACCGTTCTGTTTAGGGACCGGGGTAACACAATTGAACAAATTGGAGGACCTAAATGAGTGATATGCAAGTTTAGGGATCGGGATGACACAGTCGAATAAGTTTGTGGACCTGAATGGTCGATTTACGAGTATAGGGACCGGGATGATACAGCGGTTCAAGTTTAGGGACCGGTGATGGACTTTATCTTAAATATTATTTAAGAATTACTTATATTTTTTCGTTTTGTCAAAAAATTGAATAGAGCAACCATACGTTAAAAGTCAGCGACGTTGTAAATTAAAAACTGAAGGGGGTTTATGCAATAGATCAACGAACTGAATCAGCTGCAAGTTTAGGAACCGGGATGACACAGTCGAACAAGTTTGACGACCTGAACGGTCGATTTGCGAGTTTAGGGACCGGAATGGCACAACGGTTCAAGTTTAGGGACCGGTGATGAACTTTACTCTAAAGATCAACATATACTGCTCAAGTAATCAAGTGGCCATGCACTGGGGCTAATCTATATTTTATAACATGTATATACCCTTGAGGTGCTATATTTTTATTGATCTATAATCAAAACGGGAGTCAGATGCTAATTTTCAATGAAAGAAATTGTTTCAGTGTATCTCTGAGGAAGAACTGCTTCAGGCCACCAAAGAGTTAGATAAAGAGCTGTCGGTACGTAAAAAAATTGCTTGGCTGCGTTCATGTTACACTAATTTTTACTGCTGTTGCATAATCATAGGTAGTTTGCCCATTGCCTTGCTATAAATTAGATGCATGAGATGAGACGGAATACTCCCCGGCAAGAGAAGATCTTTCTGCAGAGGAACTCAAATGCTCAGGCACTTGCCAAAGTTATTGTGCAACTGCAAACATCGTCATGTTCGCCGGAGCAAAAGCTTCCAATAGATTCAGCTATAAGGTACGTAATGTAAAGTCTGAACTGAAATGAAGAATTTTTTTGAAGTTGGTATTTAATTCAGAGCAATGGTCTATTTTCTTTTTTCATTTTTAATTCCATATAGTGGACTTGGAGGCTGGTTATCGCCTGATGGCTTGAGCAATGGTTTCTTTTGCTCACCCCTACAAAATCTGCAGGACATCACGAATGATCAGGCAATGTATGTGTTTCCTTTCTGGCCTTTCACTGTACCGAATTTAAATCACATCTTTGGTTGGGTGTACATGTGTTCAGATCAGCGATGTTCTTCAACCCTGAGGCAGGGAATCCAATTCCAAGACTACTTAGCAATGTCAAAGTACCTGACAAGGTTGGATCAATTTAACTTATGTTACTCCTAACTTACTACGATTAAGTTGCTTATTCCAATTAATTTACATTGGAGCCCTTAGCTCATCATCTTGGAATTCATGGGATGCTGCAGACGGTTACGGAAGCTGACATCTCAAGGAGGCTGCTCTGGCACACGTACCCGGGCTCGAGGCCGCCACCGCCCATGTAATTAAACTAACTAAACTCCATTTCTGGCACCACAAATTCTTGCGATCGATCGATGGATCGGATCGCCATCTGTTTCTGATGGAGTTGTTGGGCGCTGCATGCAGCGTTGAGAGGCCGGACACCATCTGGAAGCCGATCAGCAAGCCGTCGGCGCCACGGGAGGAGCACAAGAACGCCGGAACCGGGTGGATGGGGCGGGGGAGAGGGAACGCCGCCCTTGCCGCCGCCGAGACGACGACGCAGCTCCTCACCGCCAGCAGCAGCAGCAGCAGCAGCTACGGGCATGGGGCTGCAGGCAGCCGCACTGCCGCCGAGACGCAACGGAGCAGCAGCAGCAGCAGCTCCAGGAGAGGTTCCCGTCGTGCGGACATGGTGGCGCCGCAAAGCCGCAACAGCAGGTTTGATGACAGCGACGGCGGCGCATACGGTTTCCGACCGCTTGGGATTGGGAGTGCGCCGTGGACAGGAGACGGCAGCGGTGGCGGCCATGGCCGCGGGAGAGCGCAGCCACGTGGTTGGTAGGACACTGGGCTCCCGGCTCCGGGAATTAGAGATGTACAGCCATACTGAGAGACGCAGAGGGGTTTTCCAGCTATCTTAATAAGGCAGTGGCCTAGACGACTTAGGTGGTATTTACGATATTTTTAAGATGTACAGCTGTACCACCTCAAGACTTTGCAAATGTTTCTAAATCCAGTATTCCAGGGGCCTCCCAAATATTTTGGCTGGCAAACAACTTGCCAATTAACTAGGCATTGTCCCGGGGTTATATTTTCCGGGTCTTCACCTTTTTCATAGAAAATAATTTTTTTTGCTGGGATGACCGAAGGAGGTCATCCAATGTCATTAAGATAGAGGAAATAAGTTACAAAAGAGTTTTTTATTGACAGCTGGTTGTTGAGGAAGAATGTGCACCAAAAGCGCACACCCCGAAACCACATGCCAACCGCATGAACACAATCTACAGAGAAAGAACCCAAGCACCGAAATAGCCGCCGCTAAGCGAGACCGAATGCTGCTAGGCTTACAACAAAACCATAGGACAGAAACTCTAAAGACGCCCTAGGGCGCCGTCGCCGCCCTTCCAGAGAACTGAACAAAGTTTTCACCTAGAGATTCTTGCCAAGGGGTGGAGGGGCACCTCGATAGTGTCCCTAGGAAGGTTACCACGCCCGAAGGCATGGCCGCTGTCGGTCCAGTGAACCCACTGGGCTAGGCTTTCGCCTAGGACCATCTTCACCCCTACTGCCATGATTCGTCGCCCCAAATCCCAATACCACCAACCAGCATTGGTAGCGCAAGGCCTTCGCCACACCAGACCGGCACCCCTCCGCCATCCACCAACCTCCTCACCGAATCCAGCCAAGGAGAGCTTGAGATGAACGGCCCCGCTTGGTTGGCCCAAGCCATCCCCTGCCAACAAGCCGCGCTTCCGCTACCTATGGAACTCCCCACAGAGGAGGGGAGTTTAGAATCGTAAAGGGCCTTTCTCACCCCAAAAGCTATCCATTGAGGTGAGGGGCTCTCCTACTTATATCTTAGGTCCTTTTCCCTTCCACAACCAATGTGTGACTATTCAACAGGGAGGAGCTCCACAGATAGGGAAGGTTAGCCGGCGGACGACAAGGAAGGCGAACCACCACCTCCAGACCTCTCTGAGAGCCCCTCGCCGGGGGACTGGCCGGGTGGTCACCCCGGCGCCGGGGGACAGCGCAGCCGCCTCGCAAATACGCCGTCCACCCTACCGCCTCTCTACCTTGCTCTGGGGCGCCACCACCCCGTCGCCGCCACTACAGCCACTCCTTATATTCGATTAATTCTCTTGATTAACCATTTTTGAATGGGCAAAACCATTAGGTAAGAGCAATGAAAGCTTGCCAGGTTTCATGGGAAATGCGGTAGCAGCAGAGTAGCTCCTCCTAGAGGTCTATGTTACGACAGGAGATTGGAAAAAATCTCCCCCTTTTTTTTTCTAAGTATATGCGCAGCCCTATTGCATTAGGGCATTTATAGTGCGCCACTGGTTTTTGGTGAGCCTCGTGAGCCAGCTAGTCTGGAACAATGGTTAGCCACATCTCTCACAATGCAACAATACAAGTTACAACTTCTTGTGGGTCCCATCAACCAGCTTTTACCATTTTTTTCTCTCCCCTCACTCTCCTGCCTTCTTTCCCCACCGTAGAGCACCGAGCGCATCGCCATCCGTGGCCGAGCAGCCAAGCGGCGACGGCGCCGACCGGAGGCGCGAAAGGGCTTGGCGCTCGCCGGCGCACCACCCTCCTCTCCCCCCTCCCCTCCCCCCGAAAAAACGGCGAGCGCCGGCGCACGGAAGTGGCGGAGGGCTCGGTGGCGGACGAGTTGCGGCGGCGGAGGGCTCGACGGCGGAGGACTCGGTGGCGGAGGAGCTCGACGGTGGAGGAGCTCAGGGGCGGACAAGTCGCGGCGGCGGAGGGCTCGACGGCAGAGGACTCGGTGGCGGAGGAGCTCGGGGGCGGACGAGTCGTGGCGGTCGATCTGGGACGGCGCCGGGCGGCGGGGCAGTCAAGCGGCGGCCCGAGCTCCTCCGCTCGAGCTGGGACGGCGCCGGGCGGCGGGGGACGACGCGCGGGAGCTCAACGGCGGATCTGGCCTTCTCTTCCTCAGGCGCCAACAGCAAGGTGCCGCCGCCACCGCCGCCATCTTCCTTCTCGCTGCAGCCTCCTCTTCATCCGGCACCGCCATCTTCCTCTCATCGGCGACCAAGAGGAGAACGCTGGCGGCGCGTGAAGCCACGGAGCGACGAGGCGACGACCTCCACAACGCCGCGCCCCGCCTTTCTCCCCGTGCCGCACACCTCGATTGAAGCGAAGCCCGTGTGACCAATTTTGGCTCCGCGCGCTTCGGTTGGCTCCGCGGCTGGCCGACGTGTCGTCGAATATTTGCATCTTTGGCGTGAGGCTGAATGACACGTCCTTGTGTTGTGAATGCCCTTAGCAAACAAGCCAATAATTGTGACGAGAGCATCCAGTTCTGTCTTGCGAGACATGACAAAGATAGCTACATCGTCTGCGTAAACAGAGAAACGATAACTTCCCATGTTTTGACTGACGGGTGAAAGAATGGACATACTCTCAGCTTCTTCAATCAGCTTCTACAGTGGTTCCATTTGTAACATAAAAGGCAACGGTGAGAGCGGGTCTCCTTGGGGCACACCCCTCGCATGAAAAGAAACTATTATCCAGGAGCCATTCAACAAGACCTTGGAGGATGAGGTCCGGAAAAGGTTTGTAGTCCAATTCCTCCACCTGAGACCGGTACCGAAATTTTGGAAGACTCCCAACATGTATGGCCATATGACACTTCACACTACCAAAAGCCTTATATCAAGTTTAATGAATAGGCGAGGTTCCTTGATTTCCTTCCTTATGTGCAGGCTTTTGATCATATCCTGAGAAAAAAAAAAGATGTTATCATGAATGGCCCTCTGGCACATCGCACATTTTTTTTATAACCATTTCATCCTATTAGCAAAAATCTTAGTGATTATCTTAGCGAAGCTATGCATAAGGTTTATGAGGCGAAAATTATCTTCTTGGGAAGCATCCCCTTTTCTTTGTAGGAGATAAAATGTGGTCTGAGTTTAGGTGTGCAAGTAGGAGAAGTTTTGGGATGGGCGGAACCATTGGATCCTCTTTGATTATATATCCCTGTGGAGAATATGGGTATCGGGTACCTGCACAGCCTCCATATTGGACTAGAGATAAGAGGTGGGCCAGATCCATGTATTATGTAATAGAGGAGAACTTGATCGCAATGTTGCCTTATGTTCTATGGCAGGACCTAGAGTCCTGACTGTGTACTACCATGTAATAGATTAGAAAACTGATGCCTTATTCGGATAGGTTTTCCTCTTTATAACCTTCCCCCAAACCTATATAACGTAGGCAGGGAGCCCTCCAAGGGTATAGTTATAATCAAATCGTCGGCTCAATATACACCTAGCGGAAATAATCTTCAAACATAAGTAGGGTATTTACCTATCATCGAGAGTGTCTGAACTTGTTTAAATCATTGTCTTCCACATCCATCCACTTTTAGGTCTCGTGCGCTACCCTATTTTATTATTGCTGATTTTTGTAATGGACAATCCCAAGTTTTTTTCTTTTGTAAAATGCTCCCACACATCCATCTGCCCATGGAGCCTTTTCTGATGGTAGAACGAAAATTATCTTCTTTACTTCTTCAGAAATATGTTCCTCTTGGTCTGAATTAAGAGCAAGGTTTGACAAGTTGCCCAGGAAAGAAGACAAGTTCTTTGTGCTGGTAATCCCAATCTCTGTAAGAAAAAGTCCCTCTTCTTTCTCTTTGGTCGTTAATTACTGCCAAACCTGTAATTTTTTCTGTGAATGGAATATTTTCTCTGTCCTGAATGAACTATATATGTTACGTTGAACTTTGTTCATGTCCAAAACCTAATTAATCTATGTCATGATCTTATCAATGTTCATGTTAAGAGCCTTATCAATGTTCATGTACGCAGATGCTAACGCGCGATCAGCCGCCTGTGTGGCTGATTACGTATATAAAAATAATTTTATACGTCGAGATTGGACCCTAAGCCGCTGTTCTTTTATGCCGTTTTCAAGATTTTTGTCACCGATTATTCGCTCCACGCTTCTAAAAATACGATTTCTAAAAAAAAAAAAAATCTTCAAGCGCACCATTGAGACCACTTGTTCAAAACGGAAGTATCAGTGAAGTTTATTTCTCAAAATATTAATTTACTGTGCTAATCAAGTAAACATTCTGCCTCAACAATCCACATAAAAATATGTTTCAAAGAGACCCTTAGGGCAGATCGATCAGCGCAGTGGTAGTGATATAGGAATATAGATTTTCATCCCTCGAGACGATATCCCTTCATTGCTTACATGTAATCTAAATGAGAAAAACTAGTGGACGGAATCCCGTGGGGACGGAATACTTGTAACGAATAATCCCAAACCCCAGATCCGTTTCTTCTCCACCAGATCCGTTCCTCCTCCTCCTTTCTCTCTGATTCTTTCTTTCCATCTTCCACCTCCCTCCCTACTCCTCGTCGGGGTCGGGGTAGGGCCCCAGCGGCTCCGCCTCCTACTCCGCATGGGCCCACCGCTGCACGCGCCGCCTCTACTCCTTCTCCTTACCGGCGTCGCCGCCAATGGCCCTAGGTCATGAGGGTCTCTCCCGGCGAAGGGGGGGGGAGGCGGAGGTGGCCGGTTGTGGTGGTCTCGTGGGCGCCCTGGAGAAGCGTCCGGTTATGGGGGTGGTGGCGGAGGAGGAGGAGGAGGAGAAGGGAGCCAAGGTTGTGAAGAGGGAGAAGGGAGCGACAACGACATTGGAGACGAGGTGGCCGATATGGAAGTAAATCATTCTTAACTGATATCAGGAGGTATCACGGCTGATACTAAGTATCATGCCTGGTACCTTAGGGAATCATGGCTGATACCCACAAGTATCAGGCCTGGTACCAAGGTACCAAGGTCTGATACCTAGGTACCAGCCGATACCCAAGGTACCAGGTACCAGCCAGAACACTCATAGGTACCAGATATGAGGAGGGAGGTATTATGGCTGATACCCACAAGTATCAGGCCTGGTACCCAGGTACCAAGGTCTGATACCTAGGTACTAGCCGGTACCCAAGGTACCAGGTACCAGACAGAACACTCATAGGTACCAGATGTGAGGAGGGAGGTATCATGGCTGATACCCACAAGTATCAGGCCTGGTACCCAGGTACCAAGGTCTGATACCTAGATACCAGCCGGTATCTAAGGTACCAGATATCAGCCAGAACACCCATAGGTACCAGGTGTGAGGAGGGAGCGCATGCCATCATCATCGTGCCCGGCCAATGAACCTCTTGCTGCCATATGTCCTCTCATTCCTTCCCCTCCTCAACGTGCTTCCTCCCTTTCATTCTGTTGATCTGGCTAGCAAGACAAGGAGAAAAGACGTGGAAGCTCAGCTATACAGAGAAAAGAAAGGGGATGAGTCACTTTAAGTATCCCGTTCTAACGGTATCCCGTCCTCTAGTCTCTCTCAATCTAAATGGTTATAAAAAATGTAAACGATATTTGACATCATTGATTAATATCGAATATATCACTTCACAAACATATACATGAACAAATTCAACTTCTACAAGTTAAAAAAGAAGAAGAATAAAATAAATTGAAAATAGTTATCGTATATTCGTAGCTATATTTTTTAATTTTTATTATAACTTGTAAACTTTAAATTTTTTAACTTGCATGTTTATGTAGTGATATACTCCCTTCGTCCCAAAATATAAGCATTTCTAGCTATGAATCTGGACACCCATGTGTCTAGATTCATAGCTAAAAATTGCTATATTTTGGAATGGAGGTAGTATTTCGTATTAATCTACTATATCCATTCCAAAATATAGCCACTTTTAGCTATGATGCTTATATTTTGGGACGGAGGGAGTATCTTATTGTTTTGAACTAAATTTTTATTGAGTATTAAGGTGGTATTCTATCGGGGTTCACTCTATCGGTTTAGGGTTTTCTATCATTTACCGAAATCCAAAATTTAGTTGAATTTAAACAAACATTATCCAAATTCATGAAAGAATTGAAAAATTCAAAAATTTCGGCCGAATTAATATTATATCGGGGGTCACCGAAATTTCCGACCCTGGGTGGTATGTACGAAACAATATATTCGATATTTAGGTGGCACTTTCCCAGTGATCTAGCAGGAGTAGGCGAGGTAGGTCTTCATGTTGGACGTGGAGAACCCGTTGAAGTCTGAGCTGCACACGGTGGTGTACGCGCCGACGTCGTCGAACACCAGCCAGTCCCCGGTGCACAGCTCCGGCAGCTGATAACCCCTCACCACCTCGTCGAACGAGTCCAGCGTGGGGCCGAACACCGTCGACGGGTGCGTCTTCGTCGACGTGTTCGTCGACGTGATCATCATCTCGCCGCCCATGGTCGCCGCCTGCTCGTCGCCGTCGTCGGCGGTGGCGGTCACCGGCGCCGGGCGCGGCACGTAGTTCTCGAAGTGCACGCAGCACAGGGTGCCGAACATGCCGTCGTCGATCCAGTACTCGCGCACCTCGCCGCGCGTGCGCTTCCCGAAGATGCGGGCGGCGAGCGCGAACGCCGTCTCGGCGAAGTAGCGCCCCGGCTCGGCTATCACCTCGACGCCGCTGGGCATGTCGTCGCCACCGAAGTGCCTCGCGAGGGCCGCGCTGATCACGGCGCTTGCCTCCTGGAACGTGGATTCGCCGCCGCCGCCGCCGGCCTTGAATCCCCCGCCGATGTCTAGCACGTGCATGCGCGGCATGCCGAGCGCGGCGGCGGCGTCGAACGCGGGCCGCCTCGATGGCGGCGGCGTAGATGCCGACGCGGGACACGGCGCTCCCGACGTGGAACGAGACGCCGACGACGGCCATCCCGGCTCGCCGCGCGGCGGCGAGGAGCGGCACCACCTCGTCCCGGTGCGCGCCGTACTTGGTTCCCAAGTTTAGCATGGCGCCGCCGCCATCGTCGCCGTCGGGGGCCTTGATCCGTAGCAGCAGCCGGCACCCCGGGTGGCAGCGCTTGATCTTGCCGACCTCCTCCTCGGAGTCGAAGGTGGTGAGGTCGACGCCGACGCCGGCCGCGTACTCCAGGTGGGGCTCCAGCTTGCACGGGTTCGCGTAGACGACGCGGTCGGCCGCGACGCCGAGCGCCAGCACGGCCTCCATCTCGGCGCGGCTGGCGCAGTCGAAGCCGGCGCCGAGCCCCGCGAGCGCGCCGAGCAGCGCCGGGTTGGGGTTGCACTTGACGGCGTAGTAGGGACGCACGCCGCGGAGCCCGCGCCACCACGCCGCGAACAGCCGCGCCACCTCGCCGAGGTCGATCACGTTGAACGCGCCCGCCGCCGCGGTGCGGGTCGTACTGTCGGGCGGCGGTGCCGCGGCGACGATGGTCCGCACGAGTCCGGTAACGTCTCGACGGCCGGCCGCGTCTCGCCGGAGGCGGAGCACCTCCCGGTCCTTCACCACGGGCGCCGCGAGCACGGCGGCCTCCATCTGATATCCTTCTGCTGCTGCCATGGATTTCTGCTTCTGTAATGTACGTACAGTCACAGAGCGAACGAGCGAGCGGCACAGGTCCTCGTCGCGAGTGTTCTAGCTCGTTTTTTAAATTCCACTTTTCAACCTCCTATATATAGGCTGTGTTCGGTTCCCGGGTTGAGAACTAACCATTCGCGCGCGTAAAACGGAGCAACTCTTACTACACAATCAATTTAGTATTAGTTTTTTTTAATGATATTCTAAAGCAATTTTTATATATAAAATTTTTACAGAAGACACATCATTTAATAGTTTGTTAAGCGTACGCGCGAAAAACGAGAGAGTTGAGTTGGGAAAGTGAACAACCGAACTCAACTATAAAATACACTTAGAAAAAATGCTCATGCGTTGGAACGAGTGAAGGCTATTTTAATCATATTATTATTAATTTATTTTATCTAATTCGGAACTCTTATTGGGGTGATGGGCATATATGTATGTTGCTTTCTTATGACTTGACGAGAATTCTGAAGCAATTAGGAATTCAACTCTTGTCTCAGGTTAGCATGCGCCGGTTTTTTAAAATGATTTCTTATATAACTACTTATGTATTTCCAAAAGCGAACGTATTTAAAAACAGACTGAAATACGAACGACGTATCTAAGTATTAGCGAAAATATCTTCAGTTTTTCTAATAGTAGAGATGAGATAAAATTATATACTCCTTTCTTCCAGATAGATTGATAAAACTTGTTGTTTTGAAGAGTTCATGGTCTTAAAAAATTAACTTGGTCATTACTTTCTATTATAATACACATAGAAATATCAATAAATACTTGATTTTATTAAAATATTTTTAAGACTAATTTATACTTATAATCTTTATGTATCTAAGATAAGTATTTTAGAAATTATTTATTGTTAAAGGTTTTTAAAATTTGACCTCACATTTATCAAAACTGTAAGTATTACTGTACTGTACTGTCAACCACTGGTGCCGCGAGCACGGCGGCCTCCGCCTCCATGTGATCTCCTTCTGCTCCCGCCATGGATTGCTGCATCTGCATGTACGTACAGCGAGCGAGCGGCACAGATCCTCGTCGCTGTTTTCAGTTTTCACTCACCTATATATAATACTATAGAAAAGATGAATTACGTTGCAACTAGCGAAGACTATTTTAATCATATTATTGTTATATTATTTTTTATCTAAAAGAATATGGATTTTTATTTTGATAGTATTGATATCTAATTTGGAATATTATTAGGATGATGATCATATCCTATACGTTGCCACTACTATAGAAAATCTCATATGTGCCGGTTGGGAAGGGGCTATAGACGCGATTGATCGGCACCTATTCCCGAAATTATAAGCGCTGATTTTAGAACCGCACTTGTCGGAGGGTGGACTCCTCCGCCAAGGAACCGTGAGGCCCCCCTTTGTGAGTTCGGCCGGGGGCAGCGGGTGAGATTCGAGGGCTCGGTGAACGAAGCTGTGTGATCTTAAGGGAGTTCAATCCCCCAAAGACGATGGGACAAAAGGGGTTTATACAGGTTCGGGCCGCTAGGAAGCGTAATACCCTACTCCTGTGCTTGGTTGATTGAGTGTAGAACACCAGTGCTTGAGGTTGCGAGACCCAAGCGCGAGTTCACTCGGAAGTTCCCCCCTCCACCACTAGGCCTAGACCTCCTTTTATACCTCAAGGGGTTACCACATGGGCCCAACAAACCTAACCTAGCTCCGGTGGAGGAGTATTATAATCTTTGAATTAAATACATGTCTTGTCTCTTGACTTGGGAAGCCAAGCGCACGTCGTCTTGATGATGGGGCCTGTCAAATCTTGCCGCCTGACACGGGGGGTGCCCCTGTCAGTCACCATTTAATGGGTGAAGACTTCAGAGCTCCTATTACACCGGGAAACAGGAGCATTGCTTTGACCAGAGCGGGAGGACCGACTCCGGCTGGGATAAGAGGATGAGAACATATCGCCTGACACACGTGATGGTGCGCCTGACATGCTGGGTCTCATCGGTCATTCGACCGGTCACAGACCGGTTGAGTGTACTGCACACCGCATTAAATGTGGCGTGGCGCGACCGCTCGGGTTGCCATAAATGCGGGTAGGTGGACACCTGGAGGCGGACACCTAACCCACCGTACGTGGTGACCTAGAGAGGGGGTCGGGGGAGCCCAACCCCTAGTCAACGGAGGGGGCGGCCGCCGCCCGACCTCGGGCCCGATCCCACCTCGGGGGAGGGCCACGTGGCGCCTGGGGTAGCCTTCTCCCTCTAGTCTCGGCCAGGGAGTGGCCGCTGCCCTACCTCGGGCCCGACCCCCCTCGGGGGAGGGCCACATAGCATTGGAGGGCAGCCTCCTCTACCCAGTCTCTAGAAAGGAGTGGCCGCCGCCCTACCTCGGGCTCGACTCCCCTCGGGGGAGGGCCACGTGGCATCGGGGGCAGCCTCCTCCGTTTAGCCTTTTAGGAAGGAATGGCCGCCACCCCACCTCGGGCCTGACTCCCCTCGGGGGAGGGCCACGTGGCATCGGGGGGCAGCCTCCTCCCTCTAAACCTGATACCCCCGGGCCCATATCACCGACAGTAGCCTCGGCGTTAGCCCTGACCAAAACCTTCCCCAGGTGGTCAGGGTTGATGCCACTCTCCTAGTCTGATGATATGTGGGCCCGGTCTCTTCTTCTTTCTTTGCTAGCACTAGGACCCATGCGCCTTTTTCGCCCCAGCCTGAGGGCGACTCGCTAGCCCGTACTTTAGGCTATGAACTTATTTTCTGCATATATTCAGCAAATGTTGTTAGATTCTCTCAGGCCCGTGACCTTACGCCGCGTACCTCGCTTGCCCTTGCCATTTGTTAACCTCTGTTCATGTTCTCCTTCATCTATTTAAACGATTATTTTCGCGTGAGTGTGAGTACTGAACTTTCCATAGCCAACAATCTTCACCTGTGATCAAGCTAAGCTGGGCGCCGTAGCCAGCCGGTGGGGCCAAAGCCAGCCGCTACGGAAGAGCTAGCACAGGGGGCCCCGGGCGTTGACGGTACCCAGAGCTCGACGCAGGGCTAGGATAGAGCTAGGAATCATAGCCCCCGCACTTTAAGCAAATAATCGTTTGAATGGATGAAGCGAATACAAACTTTTTGTTATCAAGGGAGGCAAGCCAGCGTGCGACACATGGGTACCGCGGGACTGCGAGGAAGAGATGGGCGAGAGATAAATATAAGCAATAATAATTCTATGCAAACGATTATCTTCGCGCGAGTGTGAGGACTGAACTTTCTATAGCCAGCAATCTTCGCCTGCGATCAAGCGAAGCTGAGCGTCGTAGCCAGCCGGCGAGGCCAAAGCCAGCCGCTACGGAAGAGCTAGCACAGGGGGCCCCAGGCGTCGACGGTACCCAGAGCTCGACGCAGGGCTAGGATAGAGCTAGGAATCGTAGCCCCCACACTTATAGCAAAGAATTGCTTGTATGAATGAAGCAAACACAAACCTTGCTTGCATGTCGCGACCTTTCAAACCTTTAGCTCGAAGAGGGCCCCCCACCATGGGTTCCGAACCATTTTGGGAAGCCTGTGACCACTTAGCAAACGAGGTCAGGTTCCCACGAGCCTGTGTCCCCACTCTACACATTCTGTTTGCTCTTTCCTTTCGGTGGCCTCCTTCCATTATCTCTCCCTTCTACACGGACGAGTACTTTTGCACGAGTGTGAGAGCCGAAAAACTCTAGAGTCAGCGATCCCCGTCTACAGTTGAGCCGGGCCGGGCACCGTAGCCAGCCGGCGGGACCAAAGCTAGCCGCTACGGAAGAGCCAGCACAGGGGCTCCTGGTTTTGACGGCACCCGGAGCTCAACTTAAGGCTGGAATAGGGCTAGAAAACTTAGCCCCCACACTTAGCGAGGAAACGTTCATGTAGATGGGAGAGAGGTTGGGCTCTTACCACCGAGGGAGCAAACAAATGCGCAACACGCGAGCGTCGCAGGGCCATGAGAAAGAACGGGGGGAAAATAAATATAAGACTTCAAGCTGTATTAAGCAGGTAAATTGAAAAATTGAAAATACTTGAAGCTTGAAAGGACGATTAGTTGAGCCGGGCTAGGCACCGTAGCCAGCCGGCGGGACCAAAGCTAGCCGCTACGGAAGAGCCAACACAGAGGGTCCTGAGCTTCGACGGCACCCGGAGCTCAACTGCAAGAGTCCTCCCAGGAGTAGACCGAGGTAGGCAGCAGGTTCATGAGCCAACCCCGCGCTTGGCCCCTGAGGGTCATGGGGAAGAAGCTCGCCATGACCTGGTCATCACCCCCCGCCGCCTCTATGATTGTCGTGCAGATCTGAAGGGACTCGAAGGGGTTGACGCTGCCGTCGTACTTCTCAGTGAGGTTGGGCCGGAACTTTCGAGGCCATCGGACATTCCGAAGACTTGACACAAAAACCTGGCCGCTAGCCTTTTTCGATGAGGATGTGGGGGGCCTAGCCCCCTGCCTGGGGCGGCGCGACACTCCTGAGGAGGTTGCGCCTTCTCCCGCATTGGCGCCGCGACGCTCATCACGCCGGCGCTCGAAACAACCTTAAAAATCACGAATGCGCCCCCTACCTGGCGCGCCAGATGTCGGAGGGTAGACTCCTCCGCTAGGGAACCGTGAGGCCCCCCTTTGTGAGTTCGGCCAGGGGCAGTGGGTGAGATTCGAGGGCTCGGTGAGAGAAGCTATTTGATCTTGAGGGGGTTCAATCCCCCAAAGACGATGGGACAAAAGAGGTTTATACAGGTTCGGGCCACTAGGAAGCGTAATACCCTACTCCTGTGCTTGGTTGATTGAGTGTAGAACACCAGTGCTTGAGGTTGCGAGACCCAAGCGCGAGTTTGCTCGGAAGTTCCCCCCTCGACCACTAGGCCTGGACCTCCTTTTATACCTCAAGGGGTTACCACATGGGCCCAACAACCTAACCTAGCTCCGGTGGAGAAGTATTATAATCTTCGCATTAAATGCATGTCTTGTCTCTTGACTTGGGAAGCCAAGCGCACGTCGTCTTGATGATGGGGCCTGTCAAATCTTGCCGCCTGACAAGGGGGGTGCCCCTATCAGTCACCATT